TGGCAAATAAACAGGATACCAGCTAATCAATCATTCCATTTTAGCGAATTTCCCATATAGGGAATAAGCTATTACCGTAGTACTCATGGTAAGACCTGGACGCGGGACCGATTTTGTTTTTCGTTTTGAGGTCCCTAGAGGCCAAAAACACCATCCGTTCAAATTCATATATATATATATATATATATATATATATATTTATATATATATATATTTATATATATATGTGTCCGTTAGCACGATAACTCGAGCAAAAATGATCCGATTTTGATGAAATTTGGTACAAACGTGTAAACCTACGTTTATTTGAACGAGTTCGCGATTCAGCATGATCGGACCATGGGAACGGGGGTTTACGGGGGGTTTTATGGGGTAAAAATAGGTTTTTCCCATTTTTGACCCAAAAAACATAAAATTTAGCAATTTCTTTCCAAACCATTTTGTAGAGCTTAAAAAAACAAATAATTTAGTATATTGAAGCGTTATTATGCGCCTAATGGTTACGGAGAAAATTCCAAAAAATTGTAAATTTAAAATTCCCATGTTATTCTTATGGAGAATAAGTAAACTGTTGTAGTTTGCTTGTTTATGAACATATTTTGATCAATTTTGGAAAATGTTTTTATTTCTTACTAACTATTAACATTTTACAAAAAAAAACAAAGTTTTACCCTCCCTGATGCAGCAAACCTAAGTACTTGTTCAACTAATTCTATTTAAATCGGGAATAAATGTTATATTTTTAAGTAGACATTTCAGTGTAAAAATCAAATCAGTCAAATGGAAATTCGCTTAGTCTGCAGGTTTGCTGCGGCGGGGGTATTATTTTATAAAATTATAATATTAGAGGGTCTTTGGGCCAAACTTTGAACTCGGGTTGAGTAAATATAATTTTAATTCTAAGATACCACGTGAAAATGGGATTGCTTTGTAAAGAATTGATTTAAAACATACATATTTATTAATAGGTACTCTAATTGGTCTATACAACTTCTGAAATCATGGCAAAATAGAATTTTAAACACAAACCTAATTCAAAAATGAACTAAACTGTCCTCAGTCATGACAAAATGCCCAGGGGCCTGGCCAAAGCCTGAAAACAAAACTACAATTTAGATAACTATCAATATCTTTTCTTTAAAAATATTGGTAGTTATCTAAATTGTCCATGAAATAGAAAAAAATACTTAAATATAAAACAAAACTGTCCTAAACTTCAGTGCCCGCGTATGCATAGGCCTACCATATGTAAATGTTGGGAATCTACACTGCAGGTACACGTCCAAAACGCATTACGTCACGGAATGCCGTGGCCTCCAGCAGGTTCGTTCCATTTTATTTAGGATTATTTTTTTGATTATTTTGCTATGTAGGCTAATTGTAGTTAAGTTTTGGCCAAATGTAGGTTGGTGATAGGGGCTCGTTATGGTATAATAACTCAATGCTACTGAAATAATGTCAATAATAAAAACAATCAACAATTAATTTTTCAAGGTTGGAAAGTCAAATCTTTGTTTTGTCAACCCTACGGTTTCTTCCTGGATTAAATAATTCTTCCTAGGTTGGGAAAGTGTAACAAATATATATGGACTGTTATTGCTATTTTTCTGGAGACAGTTCTTACGCATAGATATTCTAAATGTGTATTAGACTAGACTCTTCACATTCCAGAATATCAACCCTTTGCCCTTGAATGGCCAGCAGTGCTGGCCTCAGCTGTTTCTGAGTCAGCTTGTCATTGTTTACGCAGTGCCGTGCCTCTCACGTCGTACCCCTGCTGGATTTCTCTCGGCAGCCCTGTTAGGGAATTATGGCCCTGACTAAGTCTGCCAATCATGTTTTTGAAAAAAGAATTCCAAACCAATTATTGAAATACCCAAAAATAATTTCCAACAATTCTTTGAGGCACCCTCCCAAGCCGACGTCCACGGCCGCGGCAGCTGCCTTGTCCGTCGTTAGGGAACAGGGCCGCCGGAGGGGGAGGGGGGGGGGCAAATGCCGAGGAGGATATCTCCCTCTGCTAGAAATACGAGGTGCTATGACATAGTGATGGGGTGACAAGAATTATGAGAATAGAGAATGATGGGGTGACAAGAATTATGAGAATATGACTGAAACTTCGAACTTAACATTTTTGGTGGGTTGGGGATCCAGTGTTGTCCTATTTTGACTTAATTATTTGAATTAACCTATGGCTTGATTTAGCAGTTAATAGCTGGGAAGACCAATTAAACCATTATCAATTGATCTGAAATCTAAGAGAATGAAATAGCCGTTCTACACAAATCAAACATACACCCCTGTGAAGAACCATTTTAACTGAGATAATCTACTCTTTTATCCCCATGAATTTATAGGATATATGAATGTATGAATCCTACAAATATATGAATATGGTTTTTGAATTGTTTTATATTTCATTTCACTTTACCAAATGTATTAGGCCGGCGCCACACTATCCCGGTTAAACGGGACCTGTTCGGATGATTTGAGCTCATGGGTTTTATTGGGCGCGGCCACATTGATGCGGTTGTGGTGCGCCAACGGGATCCACCGCATGCATGCTGCGGCGTAGCGGGACGACCAGACGGGACGAACGGCAAAATACATACAGTTTAATGAGAGCAGCCACACTATCCGGTTGTGCCGCGCGTTTATCCCTACTGTTGTCGCTATCAACAGTGCTCAGCATGTGATGCTCGCGCTCTTCACTCGGAGTATGTTGCGGTAGAACAGGAAGGTGTCGCGCCGGCCTTAAGCCTACTTTTGCTCTTGGGAAAATACTCATATTCACGCACTTAAGTTTGTACGGTATCTATTGTGTTGGTGTAGTTGTCTATTTTCCTAGAAAACTAAGAATGGTGATTTGGTATCTAATGTTCTTTCCTGTGCTGTTTTATGTTTTGAACGGTATTGGTTGCTGGCGTATAGGCCAAACTAAATTTTTTTGGTTTGTTCCTCTTTGTATTAGTGCTACAACACCTTCATTTATGCTGGTTTTATATTTTAACAAAATCCAAACCACACAGTCAGTGATTCACCCACTACTGCTACTTGTCACCAAATCACTTGAACCACTTGGTACTGCTAGAGCTGTGAAACTTTAAAACGTAATGTAATTCCTCTGAGGCGTAGGCCCTACCCTACCTCTGCTGCCTGGGATTCAATATAGAACTTCTGTTCTCTGGTTTTGGGTTTGCCAGTGTTGTCGAAGCTGTATACCAATGGGCGGCAATAAATCTGATCAATTATTGAGCGGTCTAAAGAAAGATGATAATCGAAATATTTTAACATTTCCATGTAGGGAAATAAATTTCAAACATTTTCATTTTATATATCTTGAATTTCATTTAAAGAATTTTTTCTTCATGCAGCAAAGTTTTACTTTTAAAATTTTACTTTTAAAATTTCAAAATTCAAAAACCAATTTTTACTTTTTCCCTCTATACGGAGAAAGTATATGGGGAAAGTATTGTTTTCGTCCAAATTAGAGTTTTATATCAAATGCTGTTGCACCTTTTTCATGTGGCGATCAAATCATTTCTTCACTATGACAACATTTTTCAAAAGCGGGCTAAATGTAATGTCCAAAACATCAACTTTAGTAAGTCTATGCTAAAGAAACAGTTTACAAAACTTAATATGTACAAATAATAAATATTATTCAAAGTGATAAAGTCACAGTCTCACCCGCGATATTTGTTGTTGGTAAACAGTCAATAAAGTTCTCAAAAACCGGTTAAAAATAGTGTCTCAAGTTTCTAGTCAAGGCTCAATAAATAATATCCAAACAAAAAATTTACAAATTTACAACTTATAATCACAATGTAAACTAATACCTACCTAAAGTAATATCACACCAAACTCGACTTGTTAGTTGTTGGTCAACAGAGATTGAGGTTAGTTAGTCAGACAAATATTTACAAAAAGTAACAGCTGATAACTTAATCTAAAACAATTAAATACCACAATACACAGAATTTCATGAACTTTCGAATGAGATACATTATCTTATGGACAATTATATATTTCAGTGAATAAAATGTGTTTTATGACTGCGACTATTATATAGTTGCTCTGCCACTTCACGAACACGTAAAAATTGATTGATTTGTTTTTGTTGTGAGATTGTATGTAATTATATCAAAATGATTTTTGCACCATAATTTAGGAAATTTATTCCTTATTGCAGTGGTGCCATATGTTTCTTTGTAGACAAAAAATATCCCTTGTTATGATTTTTTTAAACATACCGTGTGTTGTCAGTTTTGTGACGCACACATGTTGCAACTGACTTTGCACAACATTTTCGTTCACTTTAGTGCTCAATTACAGTCATCCTTTTGTGAAATAAAGTTCATTTATGTAACAGAGTGCAAGATTAGAATCTTATCTTTCTAACGGTATAAAAATTATTCCATTTCACAATAGTTTTTAACTATTTATTTAGTGTCAACCAAAATCGTGCAAAACGCGACTATTTTAGTCGCTGCCACTACAGCAACCACCTACTAAGACTAGTTGGAGGGTTAAATAGACCAACTTTAAAAACTAGCCAAACTAAAAGGGCAGTAGTATACTATTGAATCTAGCATATTTATTGTCTCAGTGATTCAAACTAAGGGAGAAAATACAATTGTTAACCGCTCACTCACTGTGAGTAGCTTATTCAGCTATGTTCTTTTTATATTAAAATTGGTTACATGTGGTCCATTAAAATGCCTGTCTATTTCAGTATAAAAAATTTGATGGTGACATGTAGTTAAAGATGCATTTATACATTAATTATACTATAACACACAAATGGTCTTTCAATGCACTTTGATTATTTTTGGCTATTTCAAATGATTATGTTGTACTAAATTGCTATACAGTTTTGAATGAAACAGTGCTTATCCACAACACTATCATAAATTAATCGACTTTAATCATAATTTATATCTAACTTTTTTCATGTGTCATCTGCAACAAATATCTACAGCAGATGTATTGTTTTGTAGTGGTACTGTAGACTCGGCGCGAATCAGGACTTCCAATCACAATGCAGCAAGTAGTAGAAGAGGGAGAGGGTTACGGAGGAGAGGGATCCAGCTATGTGTACGACGACATGTTCCCGGCACTGCCAGAGTCAGCAGCGCCAGCCGCACCGGCCACTCAGAGCGCCTGGGGCCAGAGTAACAGCAGGATGAGAGTGGGCACTTCGGACATTACTCAGGTTAGGGCAATGTGGCTAACTTACTTCTGAGAACAGAGTCCAGGCTTGGAGAACAGATTTAAATCTCCTTCCATCAATTCTCTTATTAAATTGCTATGCCATGTTTAAAATACTAGTAGGCCTATTGTGTTAGTTGTTTATTTGAAGCGCAGTACAATTCCTTTGTAGCATGATACACCATAACTATCTTTTTTTTAATTTAGTACCTGTAGACATTTAACTTGATGTCCTAGGACATCACTCGACTCTCTACTCTCCTTGTTTGTCTGATAAATTATGTTTCATGCTAGGTAACACTTTTTAACAACAAATAATGTGTATAGGCCAACTTAGTTTTGAAAACTCGACTCTCTACTCTCCTTGTTTGTCTGATAAATTATGTTTCATGCTAGGTAACACTTTTTAACAACAAATAATGTGTATAGGCCAATTTAATTTTGAAAACTCAACTCTTTACTCTCCTTGTTTGTCTGATAAACTATGTTTCATGCTTAAGTAAATCTTTTTGACAATAAATAATATGTATAGACGAACTACAGTTTTGAATTAAAAGTGCCATTAATAAGTTCCTACCCTATGTTGCTTTCACTCTATTTTTTGTTTGCTTTTGAGTTTAATTTTCCTTAAAATTGTACTTATTTAATTTTTATCTATACATATTCGGCCATTGAAATGACAGAATGTAAGGTCCGTCACTGTACAGCAACTAAAAGATTTGATTGGGTTCGCCAGGTGTTCCACGTCCCCGCAGAAGAGCGCAGAGGTGATCAGAACAACAGCTTTGGAGACAAGGAGTCAGTGAGGACATGTCAGAGCATCATGAAAGAGACGGGTGCTTGTATAGAGATGTCTACCAGCAAGGACCAGAGCCTCACGTTCTTAGTCAGTGGCAAACAGGACGCGGTGTTGGATGCTCGCAGACGCATCCTCAACAGCTTCCAGACTCAGGTACATACATGTATACACAGATGTAAGGCCAAGTATGTTAGTCTGAGAATAATAGTACAGGTAAAACTCACCTAAGAAAACATAAAAATTAGTCCATTCATGAAACTTTCAGGAAACGTAGTAATTACCATTAGGTATTGGAATCTGAAGAGTCCCTAGTGATTGTGGGGGTGGAAGTACCATTTTATGGGGTTGTAAGTTTATGGGGGTAGTGATTTTGAGAAAATTTTTATTTATGGGATCCAAGCAAGTGGGGTGTCGTTTTCTATGTTTCTTAGGATGCAGAATCGAAAAAGAACATAATAAAAGCAATAAAACGGACAGTTTATCAGAAATAGACTAATTTAATGAAAAACTAAATATGACGAATTAATTAGGGTAAAATAATCCAGTTAATTAATATCAATCACCTATTACAAAATTGATCATGAGTCTGTGTCACATGTTAAAGTTGTGAGGAAAATTAACCAAGAAACTAGTAGTTACGCCTCTTTAACCACCACGTGTCATATTGTTCATCAGCTACTGATGCATCATCACCTTCCATGGAATCGTCAGGGTATCTAACTCGTTCTTCTCCATCATCGTCTTGCCTTAACACTGACAGCTTGGGAATGGGTAGCAGAAACATATTTCAGTTCTGGCGGTGATCCTGCAACTTTAGGGTGAAGATAATATATAAGCCCAAGAATGTAAGACCGCCTAGACCCCAATTTTTAAGGACCTTGGTCGCCCGTAGTGACGTCATCAATATGGCGCTCGGAAGAGGATGCTGGGTCGCTATGAATTGGTTATTATACCAAAATGCCAGAACCGATTTTAATAAAATTTGGCATACAAGGGCTTGAATACGATATCTAATCCCAGTTTGTCAATGGTCGAGTTAGATTCGGTCATTTCAAAATGGCGGCCGTTAATAATTAAAATAATTAAAAAACTTGTAATGTTTTGTTTTATTAACTCTCTTCAGAAATCTGCAGCGATCATTCATTTTCCTTGCAATCACAGGTTGTGATGCCATCTCTGCATTTCATGGAATAGGCAAAATACCCCCACCGCAGCAAACCTGCAGATTAAGTGAGTTTCCATTTGCCTGTTTGATTTTCAATTAAATCTATTTCAATAACATCAAGTTTAATTAGTACCTAGGTTTGCTGCTACGGAGAGGATAATAAAGTGTGTTTTTTTAATTAAAAAATTAATAGCTTAGGTAAGAATAAATAAACTTGCCAAGTTTTATCGAAATATATCCATAAACGAGTAAACTACAACAGTTTACTTATTCTCCATAAAAATAAAATGTGAATGATCAATTTACAATTTTTGAATTTTCTCGGTAGGTTACCAATATCCGTACAAAAACACATCAATAAACAAAATAATTTGGTTTTTAAGGTATTAAAATTCATCATGGTATCCAAAATGGTTTAGAGAGAAATTGGAAAATGTTATAGAGGGTTAAACATGACAAAACCCAATTTTGACCCCATAAATATCCCCGAAAACCCCGGTCCCATGGTCTGGTCATGTCGGATTGCGAACTCGTTAGAATCAATCCAAAGATTTGTTGTACTTTTCTATATGACATAACATCAAACTTTAACAGCGTTCATGACTGTAGACTTGTACTTTTTAAAGAACGTTAGCACAACTCAAGTAAAAATTACCCAATGTTGTACGAAGTTTGGTAAAAACGTGTAAACCTACGTTTACTCGAACGAGTTCTCGAACCAGCATGGTCGGACCATGAGAACGGGGTGTTCTGGGGGGGATTTATGGGGTAATAATTGGGTTTTCTCATGTTTGCCCCTCTAAACGTCAAATTTTCAAATTTCTCTCTAAGCTATTTTGAATACCCTGATTAGTTATTTTGCTAGTTTATGGTTATATTTTGGTAAACTTGGCGAATTTATTTAACCTATTCATATTTTAATAAAAAAACACACTTTATTATTCTCTCCGTAGCAGCAAACCTAGGTACTAATTAAACTTGATGTTATTGAAATAGATTTAATTGAAAATCAAATCAGGCAAATGGAAACTCACTTAATCTGCAGGTTTGCTGCGGTGGGGGTATTTTGCCTATTCCATAAAATGCAGAGATGGCATCACAACCTGTGATTGCAAGGAAAATGAAAGATCGCTGCAGATTTCTAGAGAGAGTTGAAAAAACAAAACATTAAACAATTTTTAATTATTTTAATTATTAACGGCCGCCATTTTGATATGACCTAATCAAACTTGACCATTGACAAACTGGGATTAGATATCGTATTCAAGCCCTTGTATGCCAAATTTCATTAAAATCGGTTCTGGCATTTTGGTATAATAACCAATTCATAGCGACCCAGCATCCTCTTCCGAGCGCCATATTGATGACGTCACTACGGGCGACCAAGGTCCTTAAAAATTGGGGTCTAGGCGGTCTTACATTCTTGGGCTTATATATTATCTTCACCCTAAAGTTGCAGGATCACCGCCAGAACTGAAATATGTTTCTGCTACCCATTCCCAAGCTGTCAGTGTTAAGGCAAGACGATGATGGAGAAGAACGAGTTAGATACCCTGACGATTCCATGGAAGGTGATGATGCATCAGTAGCTGATGAACAATATGACACGTGGTGGTTAAAGAGGCGTAACTGCCAGTTTCTTGGTTAATTTTTCTCACAACTCTAACATGTGACACAGACTCATGATCAATTTTGTAATAGGTGATTGATATTAATTAACTGGATTATTTTACCTTAATTAATTTATCATATTTAGTTTTTCATTAATAAATAAATTAGTCTTTTTTTAATAAACTGTCGGTTGTATTGCTTTTATTATGTTCTTTTTCGATTCTGCATCCTAAGAAACATAGAAAACAATACCCCACTTGCTCGGATCCCATAAATAAAAATTTTCCCAAAATCACTACCCCCATAAACTTAAAAACCCATAAAATGGTACTTCCACCCCCACAATCACTAGGGACTCTTCAGATTTCAATACCTAATGGTAATTACTACGTTTCCTGAAAGTTTCATGAATGGACTAATTTTTATGTTTTCTACTGGTTTTTTAGTATAATTTTACCTGTACTATAAGGTAACCAGTGATTCAAAAGTACTAAGAAGTACCAGCCAATGCTGTAACCTCACATTCAAAGTGCCTTACTGAAATTACTTAATACGTTACATAAATTATTACATTACATTTAATACATTTTAATATTAATAATTTAAGTCTAAATTACTAAAATAAACACAGCTTCTTTATTTATGAACCGATTTTATTAATTTTTGTTTTGTTGGATTTGTCATAATAAATACTAAAACTTTTGTCTCTTACAAAATGTTGATTTAGGTACCTGTTTTCATGAAATTTGGCATTAAAAAATTCAAACGGCCGCCATTTTGAAATTTGGAAAGTTAAAATAATTTTTTTTATAAATGTTATTTACTATAGTGTAAACAATTTTGCCAAGTTTCGTAAAAATATCTCAAAGGGATTTTGAAATAATAAATATTTTCCCCAAAAAACAAAATGGCGGATTACGGCTAAACTAAGCCGAAATCCAAAAAATTTTACTCTTCATTTTTGACTTATTTTTGCATGTAGAATTAGGTCCTGTATAGCCCATCACACTTTTTTGTGACACCCTTCCAAACTGAAAGATTCCAATAGGTTCTATTTGTTAATTAAACTGGACTGTTTTTGATTGCAGGCTAGTATGACAATAACCGTGCCAAAGGAACACCACAGGTGGATCCTAGGCAAGGCCGGCACCCGACTGAAGGACCTAGAGAAGGAGACGGCCACCAAGATAAACGTGCCTAGCATCGGTGACAGCTCTGACAAGATCACCATACACGGCACCAAGGACAGCATCGACAAGGCGGTGCACGAGATAAGACTTATATCTGACGAACAGGTGAGATGGAATAAACTAAGCCAATTGCCAACGTTTTTATTGGTAACTGATATAAAAGCATTAAATGGTGTTAAGTTAAACCTCTTGATCTCTTTATGCCTTTTGAGAGTTAGGACAGTACCTAACTGATTGGCTTTCAAAGTTTCATGGTGATTAAACAGCATGATATTTTAAATTTCAGCTGGTTTTGGTAATGACATTCGATTAAAATTGTAGTACCGGTAACAAGTTATATAGTATTTTCTATTTTGTCGTCAATTTTTCTATATAACCTCCTAAAATTTTGTAGCCTTTGGGTTTTAAGGTTAAAGAGGTGAAAAAACCGTAGAAATTAACTTTTCCAATGTTATAAGTGTGTTATTGTGAAGTGCATGTAGGCCTATTTCAATCCTGATCCGTCTGTTTGCAGTCTAAGAAGGCTCTGGAGAGGTTTGACGTGCCCAAGTGCTATCATCCGTTCCTGTTTGGGCCGTTCCAAGAGACGCTGAACCAGATGAGGGCGGAGACAGGGGCCAGCATCAACATCCCCCCACCTTCCGTGGACAAGACAGAGCTGAGTATCTCAGGGGAGAAGGATGGGGTGGCAGCCGCCAAGGATAAGATCATGAAAATATATAAGGATATGGTGTGTATTTTTTAACTTTGCCTGTACAGTTGTGGATTGAAACAATGCTCAGTCTTCCTAATCGCTTTGAATCCACTAAACTCTGCTAAAAATTGTTAACAATTACACTGGTTTTCAGATGTAAATTCAAATTCTATTCATCAAATCTCATAACCCTAATATACATTGAGTTGGTGATTTGGTCTTAGTCAGTAGCTCAACAGAAAAAACAAAGCGATATGTTGGGTTTGGGTCCTGGTACTGTCAGTTAAAATTGATCAGTACATTGTCAACATGTCTTGCGATCTATGTGCCATCTTCAATATGTCCTGTGATCACGAAGGTATCATGATTGTCTCCTGGGTTTGTGAAAACTTTCTGAATACTTCTTGCAATGGGGGTGGCATTTCCTATGATTGCAGGGACGTCAATCATCATTTTGTGTATCGGTAACAAATGTAACAAATCTTGTCTTGAAAAAATCCCAAATAAAATCTAATCCAGTTCGAAATGATATTTTCCTCAAAGATTCCTGAATATTATTTAATCTTTGCGACATACAAACGTTTTTCCAGCAAAATTTTTTTGCAAACACACTTTTTGCTAGCTGTGTAATTTTAATCTGGAAGACTGAAAGCGGTTTAACAAAAGTTCCACAAATATTCACTGAACCAGGTTTTTGTTTGGATTTCAATATCATTAGATAATTCTAAAGGCAATGTTAGATTTAATAATTGGAGGTCTTAGGGTACCTGGTTGTTCCATAAAACAAATTCATAAACATGTGGGAATAGTTGAGTACGAAGTGTTGTACTTGTAGGAGGCAAGGTGTGCCACAGTGTCGGTGGAGGTGGCCAAGCCACAGCATCGCTTTGTCGTGGGACCTCGTGGCTCCGGTATACAGGAGATCCTGCAGAAAACTGGAGTCAGTGTGGAGATGCCTCCCTCAGACTCAGGACCTGGCCAGGGAACAATCACCCTGCGTGGACCTCAGGAGAAGCTGGGACAGGCTCTCAACATGGTTTACGAGAAGGCCAGCAGTGTTCAGATTGAGACAATAGACGCTCCTGAATGGCTCCACAAGCATATCATCGGGCGCAAGGGAGAGAATATCAGAAAAATAACTGGTGAAAACCCTAAGGTAAATTATTGACAAAATACTGTTACTTCTAAGTAAAACTTTATGCTCGGATTCAGAAAATTTAGATATATTTTGTCGAGTTTACATGTATTTGTTTATTGTTGGTTCCAATTATGTAGATAAAGGATTCACTGGTTTAGTAGTTAGAGTGCAGGACTTCAAACTAGAAAGCTCACATTCAAATCATATCACTCGTCAAAAGCCCATCCATCAGTAGTGGAATAAAATTTCAGGAATAAATTTTGCAGTGTGCAACCAAAGTAAACTGTCCATACAATGGATGTTGAATAATCGATTCCCTACACTTCGACAATTCTTAGATAGTAATGTAAGATTCATATTTGAGTTATTTACGTTATCGAGCTAATTGAGTTGATAATTAGTTATAAGTTGAGCAAACAAAAGATGATGCAAAAATTATTTTACTGTTAAACAATAAAACATTGTTAGTCTTTTTAGTGACTCGATTATTCTTTTAGTAATAATCTTGAGTTTATTTGGTTGTTTTGATTTTATAGGCCCATGTAGAGCTGGCTGATAACAAGATCAAGGTGGAGGGACCACCAGAAGAAGTGAAGCAGGTGAAGGACCAGTTAGAGGCTGTAGTGAAAGACTTGGTGGCCAACATGACATACGCATTGCTGACTGTAGACTCAAAGCACTCCAAGCACATCATCGGCAAGGCAGGGGCCAACAGTAAGTACACATGTGACTGGTCTGCTGATAGCCCACAGTAGGACCAACTAGAGTCTGTAGTGAAAGTCTTGGTGGCCAACATGACATACACATTGCTGACTGTAGACTCAAAGCACTCCAAGCATATCATCGGCAAGGCAGGGGCCAACAATAAGTACACATATGACTGGTCGGGTGATAGCCTACAGTAGGACCAACTAGAGTCTGTAGTGAAAGAAGTAGTCTGGTGTTACACAATCTCCAGAAACCAGGCTAGGATCTGCTCGATCTTGAAATCAAGCTGCTTGCAACCTAAAGTTTTTAAAATGTCAGGTCGAGGATTTGGTAGTTTTATGCTAGTTTAATCTGAAGTATATGACGAAGGCTTTTTTGTTATGATGTAGGTTAGATTTTTATGTTATTTGTTTAATTTGAATGAAAGCTAATTTTGGGGTTATTTCTTACAATAAGACGACCATAAATCAGGTTTACACAAAAAATTGTTCTTAACTCTCTTAAGCGTATTTTAAATCATGTGAGTATTTTAAATGGTCTCAGGATTCCAGGATTTGTTTTCAAATTTCATAGTGATCACTTAGGTCCTTATTGAGAACATTAGCTCTCCATTTAAAAAATTACAAGGCTCACTTTCTGCACAGACGTGTACGTACCTAGACAGGTAGTGTAGTAGGTAGTAATAGGTTCATAATTCTTGTTACAGTAAACAGAATCAAAGAACAGACGGATGCCCAAATCTACATAAGTGAATCTGATGGACACAGTAACATTCGGATAGAAGGAAACAAACAAGGAGTGGACCAAGCAAAACAGGCGAGTAGCAGTTTTTATGTTTGGCTAAAACATGGCTATTACCCCGGATATTTGAGATTCTACTAAATTTAGTTTTTAAGTGACATTTAATGTCACTTAAAAACTAAATACATGGTGGGGGGGGGGGGGGGGTGAGGGAGACCACAGATGTACTTAATGATAATAATAATAACCGTAAAATGAGAAAAGATAACAATGGCATAAAATATTACTTATTATTTTTATTTCTATTCTTTCTTGGGTTTCTCTTCATACACATATTCAACAATTACTAATCCACCCAACCAAAGGCTACTAAAGTTGCCCTGGCCAATCACTCAATCACAGATTAAACTTGTCATAGTTACTGATTGCCCAATCAAAAAACTGTTGTGACATAGAAAGGATGTGAAAGGAGCAGACGATTGTCAGTGCAAGCGGGTAGCTTGACCTTGAAATTATCGATCAATATGTCTTTGTCTTGCTTCCATTTTATTTTTGTCAAATGAACTGTGATGTTTCAAACGCACTAATGTGGGAGCCTACTGCAAATAAATAATTGGTAGAATAGTTAAATATACAATGCATTCCAACACATTAGTCTAAAGAAATATATTTAAAAAATTGTTCTTTGACTTTGAGGTTATGTAACCTAATTTTAGAGGCAACTATTGACCACAGTTGATCTGCCGCCCAGCTTATCTGCCCCCGATTAATCGAGGATCTTGTTGTAGATCTCACTATTTAAAAATTTTATTCTTACATCCTACACTTCCGTTCACTGTACTTAATTCCTAAGGTTTATTTGTTGGATTTATTTTAGAGTTGGAAACTTCTTAAAAAATATGATGATAATCAATTATGAGTTTGTTTCATTTTACAGGAATTGGAAGACCTAATCAACAAACTAGAAAATGAAAAAGAAAAGGATGTAATAATTGAGCAAAGGCTTTACCGAAAAATTATTGGCCAGAAAGGGGAAAAGATTAAAGAAATCAGAGAAAAATTCAATCAAGTTCTTATCACCTTCCCAAACCAAAGTGAGTAGAGATGATAGTTTATATTGACTATTTGTTTTTCTGAAGCTTATTAGGAATAAGATATATAAAAGTAGTTTTTGTTACAAAAGATTTATTGCATTAAATTGTTTCATTTTAATCATTTAAGTAGGGATGAACGGGTCCCGAAATTTCGGGAATTTTTCGGGAAAAAAATATTCCCGATTATCGGGACGGGATTACATTTGACTCGGGAATTTTTCGGGACGGGATTTAGTCCGATCGTCGGCGATTTTTCCGCTTCGCAAGTGCCGATAACGCCGTTATTGCGAGTGATAGGTCCGCGAACGCAGGAGATGAAGTCATACCGACGATCGCGCCGTGATCACGGAGTCCTACCGACGATCGCGCCGTGACTGCGAGTCATACCAACGATCGCGCCGTGACCGCGAGTCATGACGACGATCGCACCGTGTCTGCGGAGTCATGCTGACGATCGAGCCGTGATCGCGAGTCATACGACGATCATGCCGTGACCGCGAGTCAGACCGACGATCGCGCCTTGACCGCGGAGTCATGACGACGGTCGCGCCGTGACTGCGGAGTCATGCTGACGATCGAGCCGTGATCGCGAGTCATACCGACGATCATGCCGTGACCACGAGTCAGACCGACGATCGCGCCTTGACCGCGGAGTCATGACGACGGTCGCGCCGTGACTGCGGAGTCATGCTGACGATCGAGCCGTGATCGCGAGTCATACCGACGATCATGCCATTACCGCGAGTCAGACCGACGATAACCCCGTGACCGCGGAGTCATACCGACGATCGCGCCGTGACCGCGGAGTCATACCGACGATCGCGCCGTGACCGCGGAGTCCTACCGACGATCGCGCCTTGACCGCGGAGTCATGACGACGGTCGCGCCGTGACTGCGGAGTCATGCTGACGATCGAGCCGTGATCGCGAGTCATACCGACGATCATGCCATTACCGCGAGTCAGACCGACGATAACCCCGTGACCGCGGAGTCATACCGACGATCGCGCCGTGACCGCGCAGTCATACCGACGATCGCGCCGTGACCGCGGAGTCCTACCGACGATCGCGCCGTGACCGCGGAGTCCTACCGACGATCGCGCCGTGACCGCGAGTCATGACAACGATCGCGCCTTGACCGCGGAGTCATGACGACAATCGCGCCGTGACTGCGGAGTCATGCTGACAATCGAGCCGTGATCGCGAGTCATACCGATGATCATGCCGTGACCGCGAGTCAGACCGACGATAACCCCGTGACCGCGGAGTCATACCGACGATCATGCCGTGACCACGAGTCAGACCGACGATCGCGCCTTGACCGCGGAGTCATGACGACGGTCGCGCCGTGACTGCGGAGTCATGCTGACGATCGAGCCGTGATCGCGAGTCATACCGACGATCATGCCATTACCGCGAGTCAGACCGACGATAACCCCGTGACCGCGGAGTCATACCGACGATCATGCCGTGACCGCGAGTCAGACCGACGATAACCCCGTGACCGCGGAGTCATACCGACGATCGCGCCGTGACCGTGGAGTCCTACCGACGATTGCGTTGTGACCGCGAGTCATGACAACGATCGCGCCTTGACCGCGGAGTCATGACGACAATCGCGCCGTGACTGCGGAGTCATGCTGACAATCGAGCCGTGATCGCGAGTCATACCGATGATCATGCCGTGACCGCGAGTCAGACCGACGATAACCCCGTGACCGCGGAGTCATACCGACGATCGCGCCGTGACCGCGGAGTCCTACCGACAATCGCGCCGTGACCGCGAGTCATAACGACGATCGCGCCGTGACCGCGAGTCATGACGACGATCGCGCCTTGACCGCGGAGTCATGCAGACGATCGAGCCGTGATCGCGAGTCATACCGACAATCATGCCGTGACCGCGAGTCATACCGACGATAACCCCGTGACCACGGAGTCATACTGACAATCGCGCCGTGACCGCGGAGTCCTACCGACGATCGCGCCGTGACCGCGAGTCATGACGACGATCGCTCCGTGACCGCGAGTCATGATGACGATCGCGCCGTGACCGCGAGTCATGACGACGATCGTGCCGTGACCGCGAGTCATGACGACGATCGCGCCGTGACCGCGAGTCATGACGACGATTGCGCCGTGACCGCGGAGTCATACCGACGATCATGCCGTGACCACGAGTCACAAGTTACTATAGGTACCTGTAAATTGTTACCCATTTTTTGGTTTTTATAGATCAGTGCCACAAATGGTAAAAATTGATTTCGTATGTCTTTTTTGATAACTGCAATACAGTACTTTCTTTTTATGTACAGAAAAAAATCCAGTCCCGTCCTGAAAATCGGGAAGGAAATAAAAATCCCGTCCCGTCCCGTCCCGAACTAAAAATTCAATCCAGTCCATCCCTACATTTAAGTACCAAGTTTAATTCTTTAATGCAACAAATGATTTATCAGATAGTTTATTATTCTTGATTTTGGCATGAGGAATCTTTGTCATCATTTTTAGTTTAGAGGGTGTCCTGGAAGAGTCCTGAAATTCGGTTGCCAGTCCTAAATAATGTTTTTATGGAGTTTAAAGGAATAATACGGACAGTTTCTATTACAATTTATTAAACAATAAGTTTGTATGACATTTTGGGATCTGAAATCTGTGTTCAATATGATTTTGGAAATACAGTAGAGTCCCGAAAACTCATCGTAATGTGGACTAGAAGGGTGCCGAGTTTGTGAAATGCCGGGTTATCGGGAACTAGGGTTAAAAATAAGTACAATATAATTTTTAAGCTTATTGATTTTTTGGCCTCTTTTATTTATTTTTATAAAAGTTTTGGTTTATTTTTATTTTAATTAGTATTAAGTCATCAGATATAGTACAACAAATCCTTGGTACGAGCAGCGAATGATTTTACTTGAGCTGGCTTGAGTCCATGTTTAACTCTGACTAAAAAATAACTAATTTTCTGATCCAGGGGATGGCCGAGTTATCTAGACTGCCAGGTTATCGAGTGCCGAGTTTGCGGGACTCTACTGAATCATATTAGGGATGGGTCGATTCCTCTTTTTCTCGATTCCGATACCGATTCTTGCAAATCGATTCCCGATTCTCGATTCCGATTCCGAATAAGTAAAAAAGTCCTAATGAGTAAAAAACATAGAAGTAGCCTAATTGAATAACAATTTTTTCAGATTTTCCCAACTCACCATTTAAAAAGTATGTTATTTATTTATGACTTTTAAACTCTATAATATAATTCTTATAACTGCGATTTCGCATTTTTTTTTTTAAATATACAGGCTACCATTCAACAGTCCAATCAAGCCTACAAAAACTATAATTTATGTAATCAAAAATAAAAAGTTATATGTTTGTGTTTACTTATTTATATCACCGTTTCCTTTTTCCCCTACCATTAATAATGTTTCATTCATGACCCAGGCCTTGGGATAGCAGGATTTTTAGTTGGAGGTTTTAAAATTTTCTGTTAAAATTCTGTATTCTGAAAAATTCAATTATTAAATTAAATAATGATCTGAACTTTTGAACTAGGTTTGGTAGTAAGGTTGATTGTTTTCAGATGAGAAGAGGGACGTTGTAAAAGTACGAGGTCCCAAGGAAGATGTGGACAAGTGTCACAAGTATTTGTTAAAACTCGTCAAAGAAATCAACGAGAGCAGTCACACTGTTGAAGTACCGATATTCAAACAGTACCACAAGCTGGTCATCGGCAAAGGAGGCGCTAACATTCGCAAGGTATTTTCTTTTATGCTTAAGCACAGTGTTGAGTTTTATGTAGCTTGTGTTTGTTAGCTTTGTATTGACAGACTATTATGCGTTTTATACAATAACATATTTTATAATTAAGTTTAATAGAAAACTAGGACACATTTGAGAAATTTAAATTAAATTTTAACCTCTCTTGTTAAAATGTACACTACCATAAATATACACTACCTTAACCCTCCAAGTGTCCATAGTTTAGGCCTTAATGTCCACCTATTTTTGGCGCATTTGCAAGGTTTTATTAAAACGGATCTGAGAAGCTTAAAACGATGTTAATTCTAATGTTCTATATACCATTTTGTTTGGAAAATCATGGGCTTCAATATTATATATAAAACATAAGGAACATTTTTTCAAAAAAAAAAAATTTTTAGGTAAAAAAAATATAATTTCGAAAATTTTCAAAAAAAAAATAAGTTTGCGCTCAATGAAATTGTATAAATTATAGGCCTATAAATATTTGAAAATAGCCACTTTGTTCTAAATTTTATGAGGATTACAAATATATAATAATATAAGGAAGTATATTTGCAAATAAATAAGTTATGGGCAAAAAACTGATTTCAGTACATAGCGTTTAGCTAAGAATGCATAGCCTAACCATAGCTAGGAATCTGGCTGATAATTTACATCAATATCACTACCTACTTCTTCAGGATCATCAACCAGCACTTCAAAACCACTTAAATCTTCTTATAATGCACCACGTATATCACTACTTTTGATTTTTAACACTAAAACAATGATAAACGTAATAAAACACATCAGTCATCGGTCCGGGGGAACCTAGCTGTTTACAAATACACGCACGTCAGCTGTCTGCTACAATATTTTCGGAACTAAAATGAATAGCGCTTAGAGACAGACCTCTGCAGAAAGCTTAGAATATTACGGAAAGAACGATACCTAACTCGATCCAGTTCAATCCGATTCAGTCAGTTATAGAGCCTTCGCCGTAAACGATGTCTGCTTGTCGAAAAATCGGCAAGTAACACTATACAAAGTGTGGTGCTTGCCGAATTTTCGTCAAGTAACACTGGGAGGGTTAACTACTAATTAAACTTTTGATTCCCATGTTAAGTTGTAGCCGGTTTCAAGTTTGATAAATATTGTTTAGTTGTAAATATTGATTTTCCATCCATCAATATTTTACTTACTCCAAGCTGATAGGGCAACTTATGAACTACTACCCCCTTTATTCTTTATAAACTATCATTGTGAAAGAAAAAACTCAAACAAAAAATGAGATTCATTAAACATCTACATTGATATCATACCTGCATCCATCTGATAATAGCATGATTATAGATACATTGAGCCAAATGGTTTGACAAATTTTACTTAAGGTTTTCAACAAGTAAAAATTTAATATTTTATTTTGGAATTTCTATGAAGATTGTTGCGTTCTCTGACAGAATTTATACTGTGTCTAGATTCGAGAAGAAACCCACACTCAGATTGATCTGCCAGCTGAAGGGGACAAAAGTGACAATATCATCATCACAGGCAAGAAAGAAAATGTGGAAGAAGCTAGAGAGAGAATTCTCAAAATTCAAAATGAACAGGTACATACAGTAAATTTTTAACATTGTACATTTTTTAGCCGCTCTTAAGAATCTCCAAGTAACACACATATTGTGGCAGTGTTAGTTGAAAGTGTTAGTTACATTTTTAACTGTGGAGCCATGTATGTATAGATAGATATTTGGTACTTATGATCTCAATTTCTCAATTTCTCAAAGCCACAAGTCTTCCTGAGTTTCTACAATTCTCTTCAAATCTGCCTTAATTTTCTTCCATTTTCCTTTTTTTCTGCCCCATTATTTCCCCTATATCCCCCCTTAAGTCCCTTTTTATTACTTGTTTTTACTATATACTCTCTTTTCACAAAGTGGCCCTCTGCCAAATCCTACTTAATATAAATTTACATTCTTACTACTTTTTTGTTCTAAAAACTAACCTTTATTGCCATCTTTCACTAGATTATCTGGATGGACCTCATACATTATACTTTTTTTAGATTACACACCTTAAGATGGTTTCTCATTCTATATCATAATGTAAAATGGGAATGGTAGGTTATCTGGAATGATCAAAAGAACTTTCATGGCTGGTAGTTCACTTGTATCTTGATGGCTATTCCAGTTGTTTTGAACCTGTTTAGGGTCCTAGCAACTTAAAAACCTACTAACTGTTTTGACTATCAAAATATAGTCTTGTAGATATTGTGCTATATTCTGATGTTTATTGTTACAGGCTAACATAGTGACAGAGGAAGTGTCCATCCCTCCCAAGTATTACAACTCCATCATCGGTGCAGGAGGCAAGCTGGTCAAACATATAATGGACGAGTGTGGAGGCGTACAAATCAAGTTCCCAAACACTGACAGTAAAAGTGATAAGGTAAGGTGTTCTTGTGTTGTTCGTTTGGTAATTTGGCCAGTGATTGATATAAGTTACCGATAGCAAATGCTGATTTTGCAAATATGTACATATGTTATGTTTACAATTTTAATCCTCTTTGAGTCCAATATGTTAATAGTCGTTTCAATATTATGACATTTTTATTTTGAAAAGACAAATGAGATGGGTTTATATTAGGGGTCTGCGGTGCACCGAAAAAGTCGGTACGGTACGGTACAAGCTTAATTACCGTCATCGGTTCGGTACAGCATTTTACACGGTACAAATTCGGTTCGGTACAGCCTATTATAATAATAAATTACTTTCAGTTTACTATCGTAGTCAACGGCAGTTGGTTCCAAGCACATAAAAGTCTTATCAGATGTTTGTTTACGATCTTCATAATTTATTACTAGCGTGATGATGCAATAAAAAACCCATTAGCAGTCCCAAATCCATTAACATTTTATCACGACAATAATTGTTGTATTGAAGTACTTCCAAGAACTGTTGAGTTTTATCACTTTTATTTCTTTACGACTTTCCCCAATTCTGTTTTATCATAAAAATAATAGTTTTATGATGACTGTTAAATGTTATCTCTAACTTAATCAGTATTTTCGTGAATATTGAATTTGCCGCTGGCCATTGCCTACTGCCATAAAACTGTTTATGGCTACATATTAAACTTGTAACTAATCTACAATCTTATTTTATAAATTAAAATATTTGTTATGGATATTTTATCTGTCTATTGACGACCATGGATATATACAAACTTTTGTTGTGATTTTAATTTCAACATCAAAATACAATATTGCACAATCGTGATATTTTAGGCCATTGACCTTCATTATGCATCCGGTATTGCTGTTTCAGAAGAGAAGCACGTTGATAAATTATAAATTGATATTCCCGTAGTTAAAAAGAATTATTTTATAAACCTATAAAACAAAATCATAAAATCTTACATAAAGATAACAATAACGGAAATTGTAAAAAGGGTATAAAGATAACAACGTCATTCTTTCTCTTTGTTCTTCTATTTCTTGGGTTTCCCTTCATCACGCATTCAACAAGTTGCCATGGTTACTAATCACCCATGTCGTTATCAGCTTTTGTGACATAGCGCACAGCAGGGGGTAAAACTTGACGAAAATCGGTAAATTTTTACCTATTATTTAATTACCAATGAATGTACTACTTTATTGGTATTTGGTATTGTATTAATAATCGGTCCAAATGGCAGATTTTTGTCAAATTTTACACCAAATTTATTGAAATTTCAAGGTGAATATTAATAAAACAATTATTACCAAATATTTGTATTCATTTAAAAGATTGATTTGTGGTATTGGGTTCCCCACTGAGTGCAGCCGAGCGGCACTAATGAGGGTCGGACCTTCTTGGGGGTGAACAATAGACGGCTTATCAGACCCTCCCCTCCCCCGTGGTCTGGAGAAAGCATGTAAACAAACTATTGCACAAGCGTGACTTTGACTTGACATTGAGCTGCTTCAACTATAATTTTGTCAAATGAACTGTGATGTTTCAAAATCAAAAACAATAATTTGGGACCATACTGCTTAACAATAATGGACTGCAATTATTGTTGAACATACAATCCATTTTTAACAAACTAAGATTATATGATTAAAATACAATTATAAAAATTATCTTGGTATTTTACTTGGGGTAATGAAGTTATGTAGGCTAGTGTAATTCTCGGTTCATCAAGGTTCTACTGAATTATGTTTGGCAGTGAATAAGTGTAGAATGCAATTTATAAATTCAGGGATACACACCTTTTACACAGTTATAAAGTCTAATTGCCCAACATCAAATCTTACTCTGTGATAATCCAAATTTTAGTTTCAGAAAAAAACTTTGCAAGAATTGTATCCATCTTATAACTTAACTAGTTTTGAAGCTGATAAAAAAAATGGTCTTTGCCATTGCCACTTCATCATAACCTCCAGTTTTTCATTGTCATCTGCTGTGAACAGCTGGCAAAACCACACTGTCTTCTACTGAATGCTTTTATATGTTTTTAAAATTAAAAAAAAAACAACAACTAGACATTGTGTTGGTTGGAAATAATTTACCAGTTTTGTGAAATTATCTTGTCAATAAATGTTTCAAACATGTTTATTCATAAAAACTCTTATCCTATTTTTAAACTACTTTATCATGGCTATTCAAAGTATCTCAGAGTAAAATAGGTAAAGCCTTTATCTCAACTGTGATTTTTCTTGACACAATCCTCGTAGTAGTAAAAGGTTTTGTTTTAATAATATGTGGTACAGTAATTGTTGTTAGAAAACCATGAATGTAGGATACTATCCATTTTCATAGTAATGTCTATGTATTAAAGTTAAAAATAATGGTTTGGATACAGTTCTGAGAAGAAAACCGCAAAAATACGGGTAGCTGCGTACCGTACCGATTTTGTACCGAGAACCGAGGTACAAAATATTGTACCGTACCGAACCGTACCGACCTTAAATTTTCTGTACCGCAGACCCCTAGTTTATATAAAATTATAAATATTTTATTTCCGATGATATTTGTTATATTTACATGAGTAGAGTAAGTGTTACAAGACATCCTACAATTTTCACCAGATTAAAGTTAAAACTTCCTCTGTAAGCGTTTTAGTCCAGGGTCAGTGCACTTGTGAAATTGGTGTGTTGTTGCCTCAGGTGATCGTGAGAGGTCCCCAGGATGATGTGGACAGAGCCAAGCAACAGCTGCTGGAACTGGCTTCCGAGAGGGAGCAGAGTAGTTTCACAGCAGAGGTCCGCGCCAAGCCTCAGCACCACAAGTACCTCATTGGCAAGAGTGGCGCCACCATCAGAAAGGTGAGACCTTGTCTTCTATTTCTTGTTATATAATCCATCCTAGCTGAACAAGAATTAGGGTTACTGATTGGCTTGAATTTTTGATCTTACCGATCACTATAGGCTCATGGTCTGCTCAATGACCTGTATGCAGTTAAGTATCGTTATGGCAAGTCATATGGCCAATGTAGGGGTTACCGCAGGGATAAGATTTTGCAAGGGACTGTATTGAACCAGCAATCACAGTCTTACTATCACAAGGCACCACCATTGAACCTTTTAGTCAAATGTAGGTTATGTAACTTTTGTCCACTATCTATTATTTATTAAATGATTGGTTACTCAGATGCTCTCAAAATATTATAATGCACTAGCTGGCCCGACAGACGTCGGCCTGTCCTATTGTGGTTTTATGTCACATGCTCGTTCATTTTCAAGATGAGCTCGTTCGCATGGCTCAATCACGTCCTGGTTGAAGTTCGTTCGCTACGCTCACTCATCTTTAGGTTAAAGCTCGTTCGCTGCGCTCACTTGCCTTCAGGTTAGCTCGTTCGCTACGCTAACTCGCCTCCAGGTTGAAGTTCGTTACTCACATTTTGGTTGCAAATGAGCTATTCTCATAACTTAAAAAAATATAGTGCTGCACCCTGTTGGTAAACCTATTAACTTTTTAATGTTATTGAACATCACAGAATCAGATAGTTTAGTTGAACCAGCTGTTAAGATTCTTTAATTCCATTTAAATATGAGTACTCATAAGGTTAACATGGGAAACTCCAGAGCCACTGGGACGGAGCCCTTTTGACGGATCTGCACCAAACTTCACACAAACCATCCTTGAATAATGCTTAATAATGCCTGAAATCTTCATTACAATCTGTCGAACGGTTTTGGAGTCCATAAAGGACAAACATACAAACAAACATACATTGGATTTTTATAGATATAGATTGACACTATTAATCTAATAATGCATAGTGCATTGACGACGGCAAAAGGTATATAAACCTATATTCAAGCCTTTGTATGAATCCTGGCATCCTCTATGGCTGAATTGGCAGTGGAGCCTATCTTCCTAGCAAATGCTATCAATTTCTCTGTCTGTTTGTGATTGATATAATGGTTTCTGGATGATTTTATGATTTATATGACGATTGTGTTTGCAGCTAAGAGAAACAACTGGCTGCAGGATCATCTTTCCCTCAGCAGATGATGAAGACCAAGAACTCATCACCATTGTTGGCAAAAAGGAAGGTGTCCAGAAGGCTAAGGAAGAATTGGAAGCGACAATTAAAGATATTGTAAGATATTCTACTTTGCAACCCTTTCTGTTTATAATTCCTATAAAGTTGTTTATATTTAGCAATTATTATAAAAACAAGTTGATAAAAAAAATAAAGCACACTTTTTTACTAATTTCCATTGAGTTTTTGCATGTGTAAATTATAGATTAGTTTGTGTTTGAGCTGTTAAAATTTGATTGACATTTTTTACATTACCAGAAAAGCATTTATAGACCAATTAGTGCTAAAAGAGTTATAATTAAATATCATAGACAAAAAGAATGAAGTATAGACCGTCAGCTGTGCTGCGATTAGCATAGGTTCTGGTGTCCACTGCTGGGAGCTCCATGTAGTTACGTAGCGAGTATGTCGTGGACGCCAGAACCTATGCTAATTGCAGCACGGCTGACAGTCTAGATTTAATTCTTTTTGTCCATGGTAACGTTGAATACAAAATAAAAATAATTAATAAATAATCTCAAAAGAGAAAACGTGTTTAGCAATGTAAATTAAAGAACAAATGATTTTCATTTTACATTCTTATAGATTGGGTCTACTACAGTTTTCAAAAGTCAATTAAGGTATTCATTTTTAATTTTCACGACTTGCTGGATACCCTTTAAACGTCTCTGGAATGATGCTTCTTAAATTTAGTCTCAACAGTTGGGTTAAACATCTTGTTGGTTGTAGGACAATGTAGTGGAAGACGAGATGCAGGTAGACCCGAAGTACCACCGTCACTTTGTCTCCCGTCGTGGTGAGATTCTCCATCGGATATCCGAGGACTGCGGCGGGGTCACCATCTCCTTCCCTCGTCCTGGAGTACAGAGCGACCGAGTTGTACTGAAGGGAGCCCAAGAGTGCATACAAGCAGCCAAGCTTAAGATACAGGAGATCGTCACTGACTTGGTAAAATTATTTTACACCTCTGGGTTCCACATGAATGAGTTGAATGATGTTTGTCCGATAATGTTTGTAGTATGTCAACTGTCTGGGTAGCTAAGTGGTTGTAGTGCCAACCTTCCAAGTGAGATCGTTTCTGAACCAGATGCAATTCGCCATTGCACTTTCAAAGCTGCATACAGTTTTGGTTTTAATGACAAATAAATTTTTAAATTTAAATGCAAAGTTTCATTGTGATTTGTAGAGTTTTGCAGGAGTTACAGGTACCTAAAGTATGTAAATTTAACATGCGTCGTATAGGGCCGCTGGATTCCCCATAAGTGATCAGATGATCTCATACCTTTGTTTTTGTGTCAAATACTGCTTCCATAAAGTATTACATTGAAATTTTGAGGGCCCGTGGGGTGGATTCTGTGGAGAATTTTTAACACCATAATAGCACTCGCCGATGGTATTTATGGTATGGTATGGTATTTATCACCATGCGAAATTTGAGAACGATTGCTTCAGCCGTCTAGGAGGAGTATTACAAAATGCTCAAGAGTCGACGTATAAGAGCTTTGGTTGCTCCGCTCAATAATAATGAATGAATGAAAATTCTTTATTTATACAGGCAAAATTAGTTGCATGTACAACTCATTTTTGATATTATAAGTTGTAGTAAATTATAATAATGATAATTAATTCAGAATAAATATTTCTTAATTTTCAATCTCACCTGTGGTGTAATTTTTTTTTGACCTAGGACGCTAGGCACGAGCCTGGAATTGTTTTTCACATTACTTCAGGCTAGACCTAGTGGTTGCGGCATTATCACTTAGATCCATTGGTGACTTGGCGGGGATCGAACCCGGGACCTCACGGACCGAAGTCCCGCGCTCTAGCCACTACGCCAGCTCACTCCCTGTGGTGTAATAGCGCCTTACAAATCTAAAAAAAACATATTTCAATAGTTAACCATACAGTTGTTTGATTGTAATAATTTGTTAACAGGAGTCCATGGTGACAATAGACTGTGTGATCCCTCAGAAGTACCACCGCTCAGTGATGGGTCAGCGTGGAGTTAAAGTCCAAGACATAACCTACAAGTATGACGTCCAAATCAAGTTCCCCGAGAGAAGTAATTATCAAGGTATGTCAATTTAGATGAATCACACAAATTTGCCATATCCCAGTTAAGTTAGGCTGTCTATTGATCCGAAACCATCTTTCTTTATCCAACCAACATCTGAGTTACCAAGTTGAACATTGAACCTAACCTAGTCTGACAACTCCTTACCTTATTAACTATCCCAAACTAGCATGACATCTCCTAATATAAACCTGTCGTACAAATCCCAACCTTACCTCACCTAATCTGATAGTTTCTAACCTCTAGAGTAACTTAGCCATAAGGGAGCTTGAATGACAATAAACTGTTGGTTAAAGATGAAGAAGAGGGAGACCATCCAGCAGAGAATGGAGACCTAGTGAACGGAGATGTTGCCCCCAAGCTGTGTGACACCATCAAGATCACCGGGAAGCCAGAAAATTGTGAAGCTGCCAAGCAAGCTCTATTAGACAACGTGCCTATCACCGTTCAGGTAAACTGATGGAGCGAAACAAAAATCTACATACTCTTACGGTTTAGCTACAAAAGCCATTAGTGGCTTGTCTGTAGCAATTACTACTAAAACAATTAGTGCCTTGTCTGTAGCAATCTAAATATATAAAAGGCAAAGCCCTCACTGACTCACTCACTCACTCACTCACTCACTCATCACTAATTCTCCCACTTCCCATTTACCTAGGAGGCTGAAATTTGGTACACCAATTCTTTGGGCATTAAATAGGAAAACTAAGTAGTTTTTATTCTGATCGGGCTTTTGTGCTCCGCCCCAGTGGCTCTGGAGTTTCCCATGTTAGCCTTATGATTTTTCATGTTTAAAAGGAATTAATGAATCTTAACAGCTGTTTCAATTAAACAAGTTGGTTCTGTTCTATGATGTTCAATAGCATTAAAGTTACAAGGATTACCAACAGGTTTTTTATTTATGACAACAGCTAATTTGCAACCAAAAGGTGAGTGAGCGTAGCGAACGAACTTCAACCAGGACGTGATTGAGCCATGCGAATACTCATGAAGTTAAACGGGGCAAAGCCCGCGGGTACAGCTAGTTACTACTAAAGCCATTAGTGGCTTGTCTGTAACAATTATTAAACATTATTTTACGTCACCTCCAGGGGTACCCTGAGGGAGGCCTGCGGCACTTGCATTACAGTGATTTTTGGAAGAATTATATTTGATATATTTTCATTAATAATTTAGAATGTTTTTTATTAATTGACCTTAACAGTTTTTTGACAAATTCATACAACTCTATGGGTCCATCCTTCTTATACGTATGATTGAAATGAAATGTTATAGATAAACTAACATAATCTTTTTCTAATCTACAATCTTTTTCACACACAATCTAACACAATCTTTTTTTAATTCATATAATGCATTTAGATACTAAAACCCTAGTTATTTCCTGGATCAAGAACCAATTTATTATTTAACCATTACATTAAAATGGTGTCATAATTTTCACTACTTGATTTATGTTATACATGTAAGTTTATATAAACATTATAAGCTTAATAAAGGTGTTAAGTGGTGTTTTGGTGCCAACACTGACTGACTTAAAAGTCGCTACATTGGTTTAGCCTTATTTCTGTACTAAAGAGTATACTATAAAAGTGGTAATTTTACAACATGTATTTTAACTTGTTATTTGTTGCACAGATGGATGTCCCGTATGACTATCACCGATCCATCATTGGCCAGAAGGGCCAGTCCATCAGAGACCTCAGCGACAGATACGATGTGCACATTGAGGTTCCCAACAGCGACGATCACCTAGACTACATCAAGGTACGAACCATTGAACAAGTCTTGGAGATTCACCTGAATTGTAATGTAGCGTAAATTGAAAAAAATTATGTATAACTTTTGTAGAATGTATTAACCATAAAAGGTTAGTAGAAGCTATTAATGTTGACAAATTATATAAATTACAATGATTTTGGAGTGACCTGTTTTCATTTTGGCTATGTTTACAGTAGTAAAACATGTCTCACACTGATTAAACTTTACAAAACTCATAATTTGGGATGTCAAAACAAAAAATTATAAAACAATTACTAAAGCAATAGTTACATGTAAAGAATTAATTAAATAAGAACGTCTTCGCTAAGGAAACGTAACAACAACACGCTCCTGTATTGCGGTATTGCTTAGACTTTCTATAGGCGTTTTTAAGAGTAAATTTTTTTTATAATTGCGTCTTTAAAAAATTTTAATCAAAATAAAATCTTGTCTCATAGAACAAGATTTAAAGTTTCCCGAAAATTTCCCAAAATTTCGAAACCCCTCCATCTCTAATAAAAAAGGTAAACGTACCTTAACTACTATGTGTTCAGTCTTTTGAGGCCAATAACCCATCATCAAATCCGATGTCAAATTGAAAGGGTTTATAACCGACAAACCTTAACCTCACTACACACCGACACACCTTAACCTCACTTCACACCGACACAACACGATGGACGTTAAAAACATCAAGAATAAATTCACATTTGAAATGTTTGCTTCAGATGTTTGGTAATTACAAGGCCTACAAGTTGTAACTCTCCTACTAAGTTATGAATAAATTGGGCGCAAAGAAATGTTTATTTTTCTCTAAACCTACACATGTACTAATTTAGATTTAACAATTACTTTCAGATCACCGGCACCAATGAAGCTGTAGAAAATGCCAGAGCAGCGGTGGAAGATAGGATTAAAGAAATCGATGCTGACAAAGAAGATAGACAACTCAGATCATTTGAGCTCGAGGTAAAGTGATTAATACTTTGACATTAGTACACATTGTTAAGCATTATCTAAAAGCTTACAGTCTAAAGGCGTCGTGATACAAGCACTTAATGTTCAATTCATCCTTAGTGACATTCTTCTTAATTTTCTAACAGATAGTGTTGCTCTGTCAATCGGGAACTTTAAACTGACTTAGTATATATTGTTTTGGTCGATCGGCCTACTGGTTGATTTCTTATTAAAATCTTTACAAAGCATAGATTTGTTTTGTGGCAGTTGACTGTCCTTATGTTTGTCTATGTTGCATTTTGTTTCTATTTAACTTAGTTGTTATGATTATAAATATCAGGATAAGTTTTATTTGGACTTAAAAATACTGTGGGGTTTAGAGAAAATGTATAGTTAAGTTGGTTTATGAACTTCACAAGTTTACACGTTACTCTTCCTTAAAAATTTTATAAAAATATAGCGTATGATTATTGGGAAAAAGGTTTTTACAAACTGTTTCTACCATTAATAGAAGATATTTTACCAAATGTCTGCAAAACAGCTGCCTCCTCAGAGGAAGTAAACCACTTCCTCAAAGAGCCTAATGTATGTGTATCAGTTACAGAATAATATTTTTGTGTCTTGTTTTTTAACAGTTTGAAGTGGATCCGGAATTCCATCCTAAGATCATTGGAAAGCGAGGCTTGGTGATCAACAAGATCAGACAAGACCACAACGTGCAGATTGCTTTCCCTCGCCGCGGAGACGAGAACGAGAAAATTATCAAGATCATCGGCTACGAAGACAAAGCTATAGCTGCCAGAGATGACATTCTCAAGATTGTCAATGACCTGGTATGTTTGCTCAAAAATATAGTACAATTGAATTTTTCTCCAAATACAATATTGTTTAATCTTAAAGTCCAGCTGTTCCTAGATCATTGGGCTTTTAAAAAATAGGCCTCACTGAGAAACAGCTGGTCGTAGTCGACCAGTAACATAGCTTCACAGATCATCTACCTTCTTTCTACACTCACCCTTAATTTGTATTGATCTTAAAATAAAGAACCCTGGTGTGCTTCACTGTCTTAAAGGAATGAGTTGAAAATAAAATAACAAATTTTAAATTTGTGACAGAACGCGCTGGCCCGTGTGGAAGTGTACCTGGACGCCAGAGTACACTCCAGACTGATAGGCACGCGGGGGCGCAGCATCCGCAAGATCATGGATGAGTTCAACGTAGAGATCAAGTTCCCTCGGTCGTCTGACCCGGAGCCTGACCTGGTGGTCATATCTGGAGCTGAGGCCGACTGTGAGGAGGCCAAGGACCATCTGCTCAACCTGGAGGAGGAATATGTAAGTGTCCTTCTCTTAGCTACCCTGGATATCTTGGCAATCATTACTCCGTAAAGAAGTGTATTGTAGAATGGTGCACAAATCATAACAAAAAATATAAATGTATTCTCATAAAAATTATGGATGGACAAGATTGGATTTTTATTTTGAGACAGGATTTTTTATTTCTTATGCTATTTTTTTTTTAGACAAGATGGAGATGGGATTTCCCTTTGGGATATGCACGTGCAACATTTTAACCAGATTTTGTAACATTGTTAAATACCTACTAAATTAGGACAGATAACTGGTTAAATACTAAAATAATAATAATTTAATATTAATAATCTATTAATAAAAAGGTATTAATAAAAAAATATAGGTATAAAAAATATTAATTAGTCCTACCTTATTAAAATAACTCTTACAAATAGGAAACATGGTGATATCAGTTAGCATAGAGTTCAACTTTTAAAAATACAAAATTTGTTAGTCTGAATCACCAGTCTTAATAGTTAAATACTAAATTACAATAGTAAAATTTGAAAAATACCAAATTTATCAGTCTAACTAACTAAATAAATAAAAAAACTTATTCTATGGCAAAAATAAAGCTTTCTCCCAATAAAACATCAGTTATTTTTAGAATGGTTTAGAAGTGACTTATTTTGGCTTTGTTTACAGTAGGAAAACATGTATCACACTGCTTACACTTTTTAAAACTTCTCATAATTTGCAATGTCAAAACAAAACATTATTAAACAATTAATTAACACACGTGTGGTTGCGTGATGGCCGGCCGCAGGCCGATGGCAAACCCCTGCGTGATCGAGTGCGCGAAAACGTTTTGAATTTAGTTTCATCCAAATGAGAGGCATTTTATAGCATATAGTCGTCAAACCATACAAGATAGCTATATTGATAATGATTATATCTGTTTTGACAGTTGCAAGATGTGACAGAGACCAGCCTTATGGCAGACCAGAGGAGACCAATAACTTCTTTGGCAACAACAACTCCAAGGCTGGTGGTGCCAAGGAAGGGTTTGTGGTGAAGGGTGGTCCGTGGGAGCAACAAGCTCCTGACACCACCAGCACCGAGGACTTCCCGTCCTTCGGTGGAGGCACTACACACGCGCCAGCCTCCGCCTCCTCCTGGGGCCCGCGCCGCTAACTGACTACACTCGCCACTCACGACACATCCACGCCTCATCAGAGCCTCATAGGTTCAGGAATGTTTTATTGTTTTGCCACCTTCAAATTCATTTTTGCTCGATTTATATCAAGTATTGGCCTAACTGTATCGACATAGTGCAATCATTCAAACCGTCACGTGGAATCGTCAACCGAGACTAGACTGACGGCTGCGGCCGTCTCTCCCTCTTGTATCCTGCTTGCTGCATTGGTAAGACCCGGCTCGTTTATGGATTTATGAATTCGGTCGTCAAAAAGTACTTTCTGACTTGGAATAATTTCACTTAAACTCTTTTCTTAAATATAGATTATTTATTTACTGTTAGTTACGGTTTATTTTATTGTTTTTCCTCTTTTCGAGAGGTAAATGGCTACCTTTCTGTACCTCCAATCTTCGAGTTTCTATCGATGTTAATTTATTGATGTCTTCTCTCTTTGCGGTAAAGACAGCAACAAATGTCTTCCTAGACCGACTCAAAGTCAGTTTCCTTAGATAGTTCCTTTTTCTTTCTTTTGTCTGTGCAATTTACAATTTTATATCCGCGTTGTATGACTATATTTTTTTATACTGTTTTGAAATCTGGTGCCTTTTATTTAACTGATATTGGTTTGTCGAGATTGTTGTTTGATATGTTTTTGTACCTTTTACACACAGGCAATCACTAATTAAGTTGATTGAAGCAATATTCTGATCTGTTTAAAAGTATTTTAACGACAATACCATCTCAAGTGGAGTTTGAGATTATCTTGGCCTCATGTGAACATGTTCTTTTACTCGATTAAGTGAATAATCATATTAAGTAAATTTAAAATCAAATTTTCTATATTTTTATTTAAATTATGTTATAGATTATTGTTATTATTTTCTGTTAGCGATTAATTATTTATCTCTATATTTTCAAGTGGTTTTGTAGATTTAAAAAGTATGATTTTGTTGTGTTTTGAGTCTATGTATAAAGAAGATTTCTTTACAGGTTTTTTATGTTGTTATTGTTAAAATGTTAAAAATTATAAAAATTGTAAAATAAATAATAGACTGAAAAAAACTAAAACTATATATATTTATAAGTAAATAACAGATAATGTATCTGAGCTATATCCCAGATCCTACTGGATTTGTCATCTCCGGAAAGTTATTGTGTGATCATATTTTATATTACAAGATGTACATACGTAGGCTCTCATTGTCGTTGGGTGGATAATATTCTTACGAATAAAGATAATAATACCCAAGTCTGTTTATTTTAATCACCCTGGCCTCTATTTATTGCTAAATATTTCTACCATTTTTAACGGCTACATCAAGTACATAATGAATTATGTAAAATTGTCTGACACTTTACCTACAACAAATTTAAATCCTCTAACACTCTTAGTTTGCAAATGCCAGTAATTTTATCAGAAAAACGTGCAAAAAGCCTAAAATTTAGCAAACAAGTTAAAGGAAAGATTTAACCGTTAAAACTCTGTGAAGGGTAGTGACTGGTATAGACTCTTGAGAAAATTTTCCATTAGGTTTCAAATGGTGTTGTTCGAAACGTAAACTAAATTGAATAAAAAACTGTTAACCCATCAAGGGCTGGCCACAGGACCTTAAACACTCTTAAAGACACAAAAACATTTGAAACCTAAACATTTTAGCACCTTTAATTTTAGTGTTTGTTTCTCTATACAAACACAGTTGGACTAATATCCAATGATTAGGTTCCGACTTTGATTTCCCAAGGTAGCCCCCCCCCCCTTTGTTTGAGTATTACCTTTAAGAATCACAGTATTTCTTAGATTATTTCCCATGATGCCAGAGATATAATAGGTTAGTTTATTTGTTCAATGAATAACTCCAATGAGATTCATAATTTTGCAAACAGTAAATTGTTAGTAATTTTCATCATAAGGATTATAAGTTATTATTAGAGTTAAAATCATGCTTTATGAAAAAAGAGAATGATATAGCCAATAAATGTACATTAGTTTGTGTTATACTGCAAAAATAAACATTTGATTTACTTTTTCAAAAGCAAAATTTTGAACTGTAAAGCTATTTAATAGCCAATGTGAGGTTCCTTGGATTAGAAGTTCTCTATATAGGTACTTTCATAAGGATAATTTGTATGTGCATAATAATTTTCAGAGCTAATTAGCAATGTGTTTGTTATACAGTCTTGAACCACAAAGTCAGAGTCATGTTACAGGAATTTTTCACATTCAACACCTTTAAAAAAAGTATTGAAATCTTTCACGTTTAAGGAGAGAACCTATCCCCGTTCTGGATAAACATATATTTAAGGGGATTGTATGGGGTAAACACATCGAACTATATAACACAACTGGAACACCGGTTAGATAGGAGATTTGGGATGAAAAGCGCGCCGTTTCAGCAACCTTCCCCCACCACAAAGGGGGACTCGACGCAGATATGTCAGTTCCTCAAGCCGTGCACACAGTTGTTTATACCCTCCTGGCCATGCATACAATAGGTTGACTGCAATTAAAGTAATATATTCGGAATCTGCATTAACTGCAGAATCTGACAGTATAAATATAATCTTATTTAAATCGTAATTCAAATTTTAACTACTAAAAATGTTAAACAAATATCACACCTTGACATGAAAAAGTTACTAGGATTTTTTTTTATTTTTTGGTCAGAAGCAAACTTCAAGCGACAAAATTGTAGCTAATGAGATGATCTTCAGCATATAACCAACACCTCAAATAAAATAAAATAAAATTCAAATAAAATTTTCTAGTCGTGTGTAATGGAGTAATTAGTAACGCAAAGAGGCTCTTTATAAATCGCGCCGCGGGCCGTCCTCCCTGGTTCCGCTGATCTTTTTGTTTACGGTACTCCCAGAAATGTTTTGAGTACAATAAATAGTTATACTAAATAAATTTTAATTCCAGGTAATTAAATTTTTTTTAGTATAACTATGTGTTACAACTGTGAACTGTGTTACAACTAAACTGTGTTACAACTAACCCCCTAACTCTTTTTAAATATGGAAATTCTATTTCAAATCAGAAGTAAACATTATTTATACCATTACATTCTGCATTTGATGCAGATTACAAATATATAAACATTATTGTACATATTATTTGTTATTGAAGGCTAGGAGCGAGTTAACAACTTCGCGCACTATTCGATGAATTGGCTAAAATCCGCTGGGTCCCCCATGGTGGTGGGGGAAGGCTGCCACAACGGCGCGCTTTTGTGAACACGTACCTAGCATTCCAGTTGTTTTATATACTTCGATGGGTAAACATTGTTTTTTATGCAGTTGTTAATTCCATACTTGGAGCTGCCCTGTTTGACAATTTCTGTTTCATTGGCAGTGTTCCTTGCTAGAATCTCAGAATACTCGTGCATTCACACATAAACATCCCTATCTTCATACAAAGGGCATTAGCAAACAACTCAACTGTAACAATTAAAAATAGTGGAGGAAACATGATCCAAGAGAATGGATGCTAAGGATAATTGGAAGCTTAATTACTTTAGATCCTTTTGTGTCTGTCTGAAAAAAAAAAAAAAACTACAAGGAGATCCTTTACTGTACAAGAAGTTGAATGATTTCTGAAAGTAACTGGTAATCTATACGACATCAAGCTTGTCTCTGAAGTAAATAGTAAAATATTTGCTAGATATTTTGTTACTTTTAAAATACATTATATTTTAAAATTATTAGTTTATTGCATTACTCAATAAAGTTTAAAAAAATGAGGAATGGTAATTCAAAGTATTTTTTACATACCATTTAATTACTCTGATTTTATAACAACTAACAACATGCTTTTAAAAGTTATGGATAAAGTAAAATTCTGTACCACGCCAGCACAGCAAACCTGCAACACATTCTTATTTGATCAGGTTAATGTCATAGTACAAGAAAATTTTCACTTTAGAGCAAATCAATGGGTGAATGAGGAAAACAATTGGTTTGCTGCTATTTGAAAAACAAAAGATATTGCTCTTATGGTTAAAATTTATCAATGATTAGAAGTTATTTTAGCAACTAATTGATTCTTTGTGCAAATAAGATGAGAAATATTGTTTCCAAAAAGCGTAGAATGGAAATTAATCATTATAATTACGAACTGATTTGATTTGTAAAACCCCTATGGAAACGAAATAAGACCATGCTTGTCTCAACTGGCTCTTTATGACTCCATCGATTTCAATCTATTTACAGATCCACAAAATTCAATTTGAGTATGGCTAATGGAAACATCCTAGAGACAGTTCAGATTGTAACTTAAATATCCCTCAAAAGAATTTACTCTACCACACAGTAATAGCAACTGTCAGAATCAATTAAAATCCCCTCTACCTGATTCTACCAACTTTAACACTTAAATATTTTATTCTAAATTCCTTTAAATTCAATTTCCCTTTACAAATTCCCTGATAAGAAGGGCTTGGCCTGAAGACAGAGTAAGCAGTAGCCAATAAACCTATGGGCACCCTGCCCCGGCCGACTATCCCTTAGCATTCCTCAGGTGGCTTATTTATTGACCTGGACTGCTAGTGAGTGCAAGACCTTTCTCTTGACCGTTCCACTGGGCTGAAAACCTACTAGGGCTGTTTTAGGACTGCGTCCTCCTCAGCATTCTCAGTGTTAACATTAACAATGTTGAATGCCTCTTGAACAGTTGCATGTTGACAGTACAGCGAATAAATATTTCCATAGAAACCATTAATTTTATTCATTCGCCAGTTCAATAAATCAATGCAATACAACATTTTTTCCTTATGTAAAAATTATGATGAGGAAGAGTAAAACTAAAGAAAGCTAAGCGTCATGACTCCATTCCAGAGGGTACTACAGTAAGTAGATCAGTTCTGGAAGATCAGTGAAAACTTGCCATGATTCGTCTATTCTTGTCATTACTGCTTCATACGACCTAACTTGCAGGATCACTATAGGAAGCAACCAAAATAGGGACTTCTAAGGAAAATGGAAGTTTATAAAGCTACACAGAAACCTGGTGTATATTGCTTCTGTAAAGCAAGAAGGATCCACATAGTTGAAAGGATTGCTCAGAGTAAAGTGCCAAAGGATCTGCAATAGGAAATGATTTAAGAACATGATGGAATATAGGAGATGAATGCAGATAGGATGAGGAGCTGGACTATCTGGGAAACTTCAAGAGGAAGAAATCAAAAAGTTCTGCAGCAACACTGTAAGCCGATTGAAGACAATTTGCGATAGAAAAGAAGGATGAAGCCTGAAGATGAAAATAATAGTTATAAGGAACTTGTTAGTATTAAGTATGGTATGTATCTAGTATTAAGTATTGCTGTACCTATTGTTAGTATTTTATGTATCTTTTAATAAAGTATCCGTGCGCTTTCCTACTTCAGCGTATACGGAGCGTCCCCTGGGTGGCGGATAGGGGGAAGGTCGGTGGATCTGCTTGTCAGTCCTCCCGGCTAGGTCCGATGGACCCGCTGACCAGAAGTAGGTGCGGTCCTCCATTCATATTGGGGGTTGTGGCGATGGGCTAACCACCCTCCCATGTAAAAAAAAACTCTTTTAAGCATGTTGTGTATCTAAGGTTAAATATGTCATATGTATCTAGTTGTATTATTTGTACATAGTGTTAAGCTTCTTACGCCTCTTTTACACGATGCGGCGCTGCGCCGGACAAGCGTGTTTCTTCACACTAGTACGGTTTCGTATGGCACTCCTGAAGATTTATTATTTATTATAATTATTATTACATATTATTATTACAGCACATTTTCATTTAGGTTAAACCACCCCAAACATTGAACAAAATGGGAAAGCTGCACCAGCTGATCGTAGTCGTAATATCTTTGAGTGCTGCAAACTTATTTTCAAGGTACTGGTACACTGATTATGTGCACAATAAAAACACGCTGTTTTGTGTTTTTTTGTTGTTGTAATCTTGGAGTGCAGCAAAAAAAAAAAAAAAAAAAAAAAATGGAGCAGGCGAGCAGGACAATGGCTATGCTGACCCCACCGTGAATACTCCACTTAAAAGTTGAATAGGCTAATTCAAAATATAATAAATTTGTCATATCTGAAAATATTGTATTCTAGAAGTCTCAAAAGAATGTTTCATTAGTATAAATTACTAAATTATTAATTTAATACTAAATATTCTCCTGTAGTTATTAAAGGAAAAAAAATGTTTTAATACTTTAAGTTGGCCGATTTGCATGAACATAAAAATATATGTTTTGTGATAACTTCAAATATATTATTTTCTGATACTGCGATATATATTTTTTAATAACTCTTGCACCCTCTTGGTCAGGTAGTTCGCCTAAATTGTGACAGCGTAGAGGTTGGGCCGTGCGGCGTTCGCCGCACCGTGTGAAAGCTCCCATAAGAACCAATAGCCCTTCACCGAGTTGTCCGGAGTTGCGCGGCGCTGTTGTCCGGACAACGGCTGTAGGTGCATCCGGCGGTAACTCGAGCGCCGTGCGCGCGCCGGACATAGTGTGAAAAGACTCATATACTCCCATAGCCCTACGCCGGATCCGGTGGGCGCCGCATGGCGTGCGCCACGTCGTGTGAAAGAGGCGTTTATGGATCTAGTATAAAATAATTTTATGAACTAACTATAATAGTGTATAGGATTTATTTCACTCATAATTATTGAGAAATCAAAATTCAACCTTTATGGCCGCAGGTACGAGCCCTGGTGTGGAGGATGCAATACGCCAGCCCCCGGCGAGGAACACGCAAAGATCGGCAGAAAGTCCTCCCGATGGGGTAACCCATTCCCCGAAGATGAGCCACATAGTCATAGCCTTTGCCCTTTACAAGCATTACCAGCAGGTTAGCTAGTCTCCACAAGACTGAAGAGGGCATTGTCCTAAAACCATCCTAAACAGTCACAGAATGGTTTCAGCTCCCTGGAACGTCACGATGATCACGTCACTCCAATGAAACGGTGCTAATTTTGATTACATAGCTACTTTAGCCTCTAATATTTCTAAAATCGGTTTTAGTACAAAGTTTACTTAGCCAAGTAAATTTTAAATTAGTTTTGTCGAAACTGTCACCATTCACTGTCAATCAAACGTGCTAGAAAGGAATCTGTAATGAGAGACCTTGAGTTCGCTCTACAACCAAGACAAAGTATAACGTTACAAAAATAGTAAGTTGATCGATACAGGACAGTCGATCTGGTGAAATATGAGTGTTTCGGCCTGAGAAGCGGCGGGGCTTCTATTAGGTAACCGTACAGTACTGGACATGGATCAGTGTTTGTGTGTTTGTGCTACCGCGCGCGGGCATGTCCTAGGGGTGAGCTATACATTGACTTTGGATACGGTAGGTAGAATTAGAATTTTATTGTTAACTCAGAAGTCTATTATGTTTGTGTTTCGTACCCTACATTTGGGTTTACTAATGTCAATTTTTCGTTCAATTTGTGGTAAATTTTACAATATTTTCTTTGCTCTTCGATTGTAATATAAGGTGTTAAGAAATCGCTTTTGTTCTGGGGGTAGTAGTAGGTGACAAAATAGCCACGAATAAATATTGACAGCTAAAATGTTAACAAAACTTAAAATCTTCTTTTTAATTTTAAGATTAAATGGATGGCTAAGTTTAAACCACACTACTTTTCAAGAGGCAAGGAAACTCTTCCAGTTCTTAAGTAGGCCTATTCAAATTTTCTTCACTGATTCATATAAGAGTGCTAAATCAATAGCGGGTTTTAATGATAGATTTTGAACAGTGTGAATATACTTCTTTTCCTGTGGTAGGCCTAAAATATGAAGATTGTTTTTGTATCTCATGTTGGCATCGTTCAGAGAAAATTAGTATTAAATAAGTCTATCTGTTTGATTTTAGGGTGGATTGTACAATTTTACCTTGTCTTTTTTTTAAACCAGAGAAAGCTTTTAAGAATACATAGTTTTATTCGGTTCAAATAGTTTTCAAATAAGTTTAATAACAAGGAAACGTGTTAAAGGAAAAAACGCATTCTACTGTTTTTACACCGGACGGAATTAACTCTAAAACCGACCAATAGAGATGATACATGTTATTACGATGTATCCGCTGTAATTGAATTTAGGATACTGAATCAATCTGTCAATAGTCTATCAGTAATAACAGTTATTGCCACGGAAAAATAAATAGTTTTCAAAATCTATAGTTGTTTATGGTAAACTTTTTACAAGTTCGTGAAATAACAATAAGTAAACAGTAAACTTAAAAAACTCCCTGTCTAAACCAGATAAAACCGCATAACAGTAGTTTCTAGCGGATACTGATACATAACGACGACAACATCTGTAAGAGTGATTTAAAATATAGGTTTAAACGTAGATAATTGAAACGCACACTTTGACACTAAACGGTTTGTTTATTTCAAGGAAATTTGTATTATTAATATACAAGCACATATAGAGATATGCTTGTCGTACTTTGAAACAGCCTCTGATTGAAAATGTTTCTATCCCACGAAGCTAGTCTATCACTGACGATTGTACTAGGAAAAGTGTTATCAATGGCAACACCAGAGGATTAAGAATTATATTAGCTTTACTTAGGATTGTGTTTCAATTAACTTTGAGAAAATACAAAATGGAAGTAATTGGAAAATGCGCAGATAAAGATTGGAGTTATTCATCCCGTATTTCACGTTCTATTATTGCATATTATTTATTTTATACTTTTGTTAAATTAATTTTTCCTACAGTTACCTAACAATGTACATGTTCTCTCACTGATTTGAGACAGCAAAGTGGCCAATTCGCTCATCAGTGAGACAATGTTAACATTGTCTCACTATAATTACTTTGTCTCACTCCAGATTTGCAACATGAAGGCACGAAATAGTGAGCGCGTAACATGCAGACAAGGTCGTACGTTGGCAGCACTGGCTGTAAATCAGCTGGTCAGCTGTTGTACTGTTGTATTTGTCACTTCACATTAAATGTCATATTAAAAGTTCACTTCTGTGTAAAAATATGTCACGTTTCTTTACCAATTTATTTGTTTTATGGTAACTGTAGGAAAAATATAATGTGCAACTCGAGTGCAAAGTGCAATTGACTCACTAGTTGCACAAATAACTATTATTGTCAACTAAAAGTGTAAATTGAACATGTGTAGCCTTGTACATGATTGTGGTTTGTAACAGCAATGCAGGTTTATAAAACTATCCCCCTCATTGTGCTGGTATTGTGAGTAATGAAAGGTTTAGTGTTTCAAAAACTTGTTAACTATTTGGTCCAACAAGAGCAAACGAGTGAACTATTTCTTCTCCCTTGACAATCCCATTACTAACATCGTGAAGTTGTTAAAACTATTTCACAATAGAGGATGATTGGTGGGTTTAATTTCTGGTGCTCAATCACGTTTTGTATAAAAATAACTATAGTTTCTACTGGCCTGGATCCACAGATACGTGAAATTGCTATACTATAGTCATTAATATTGTCTTATCATTAGATCAATCCTCACCATGAAGTGAATAAATAACCAAACGACATACCACAAATTAAACATCCAAAGAGAATGATGCAACACTTACAAAAACGTATCAAATGAAAATTAGTCATGCATAGATTTTAAAGTTTATGTAAGACTCCTAGAGAGTAGTATCGATTGCTCACCTGTATGCTGATAAAGTATTGTTGTTGAGCTGAGTTGAACAAGTTATGCAAAGCTCAGATAAACTATTTACACTCAGGACTCATCCAAGTAATATAACTAACCGTTTACTATCTATGTACACTACTCAACATAGTTTCTAAAGTGTTAAACTGAGTGACGTATAGTCTTGAACAATGTATCTAGTTAATTAGGGGCTTTTAGTGTACTCACTGAACTTTGCTCTTAAAATGCTATTAAAAACGTCCTGGAAAAGTTAACTATACCGGTGACTCTATTTAGCGGATTTTGAGTGAACTAGATCGTAAACAATAAGTGTTAAATGCTTGTGTATAAGTGAAAAGTAGGATTACGTTGATGATGGAGGGACTGGATAATAGGAGTGCAAAGTTCAACGCGCCTATTTATTTACTCACTGGCTATATAGCTTGTAAACGTGCCCCTTATGATCGAACCCTGAAGTAATGAGGGCTAATGGTACTAAATTAATTAGCAGACTAATGAATTAGCAGCCATGTAGGCTGACACCCTCTTCGATTAATGGTTCTGTGGTCCTGGGTGTTGACATACTGTGTTGTGGTCTGTGGTGTGTGGTCAGCTTAGTCACACTAGAACATGGGAATACCTACAGTACAAGGGTCAGATGTACACGTGCTGTAGGCCTACCTTGTATGTCAGCTTGTTGGTTAACATCTTAAAAGGGAGGGAAAGAAACTTGTTGTTCCTCAGTTACTATCTAAATCAGCTGCATAAAAAGATCAACGTTTACCTCCTAGTAAATAGCTTGGATTGTGTGAAATGGTACAAAACTATTGTTGTTGCTAGCAAACAGTTACCAATTAATACAATACAAGTTACTCAGTTACTCTCTAAAATCTAAATCGTCTGTCAAGAATGGTTTACGTGTTAACCTACATTCGGCTAGTAAACAATGTCTTGGATTATGTGAAAACAATTCAAAACTATTGTTGGTGCTCAGTTACTATCTAAATCAGCTGCATAAAAAGATTAACGTTTACCTCCTAGTAAATGTCTGGGATTATGTGATAATAGAACAAAACTATTGTTGTTGCTAGCAAAAAGTTACCAATGAATACAATACAAGTTACTAAGTTACTCTCTAAAATTTAAATCGTCTGTCAAGAATGGTTTACGTGTTAACCTACATTCGGCTGGTAAACAATGTCTTGGATTATGTGAAAACAGTACATAACTATTGTTGTTGCTAGTGAACAATTCATAACTAACTTTTGATTTACTCACCAATAGTGTTCGTAGATTAAACTTACATTAGATCAACTGCATTAGTTGATAAGACATGTTTACGTGTACATTTGGATGGTAGACAAAGACAACGTCTTGAATTATTTTGTTTTTAGGTATTGTTTGTTCTTGCGGCAAAGCTATATTACCCTCCAATATATTTCCCCACGTAGTGTGGCTTTTTCGTTTTGCACTATATATTACTTCAAAGAAATAATACATATTGAAAATGAAACACACATAAATTGAAAACATGATTAGAACTTTTCAGTTGAATGACAAGAGTGTACTTGCAGTATTCAAAATCAATGGTACTGCTTAGCAAAATAACTTTATATGTGTAATAAAGATTTTACGCCATGGTTTGGGACATTTCACATATATTTACGTAGTCAATGTTACAGTAAAAATATATGTATGGAATCACTTAGGTTTGTCCCAAATTTGGGGTAATTCGTTACAAAAGCTGTTCCTTGCAGTTAAATACGTAATGATAGTTTCTCATAGAACGATACGCGTGAGTGGAGTTCAACCATTTTAATGTTGGAGGGTGTGATAAACAGGATGTGGTTTAAGAGGAAGTTTTACCATCGAAAGAGCTTGTTACTTAAGGTTCTATAACATCAGTCGGCTAAGGTATGGTTGATGTGTAGGCGGTAGGCGGATGGAATACCTCCTAAATAGGGGGATCAATTACGTAGGGCTGAGCAGACGGAAGTGTAGGTCATGGCTGGGGAGGGAGGAAGTAGGGGGTAGCGCGTGCTAGACAGGACGTCGGGGATGAGGTATCAAATATCAAGTAATGCATAGGTGGACTTAGTTAGAAATGAGTTTATAAAATGGGATTTCTTCTGAAATTTATTTTTGTGAAAGGTTTTCGTGTTATTCCCTAATTGGATATTAGGTTTTCCCCTTTCCTTGTAACATGTTTTGGGCGAGAATAGTATGAGTGGAAAATAATAATTATGTGCAATGACATTGCACTTTCTACTCTGGCTTCACTCGGGAGAATTGTTTTACAACCCTTTAAAAAAATTCCTGTGACTACTCGTACAAGATCATCTTTTGGTTTTATTTACCTGGGCAACTATTGAATCAATGATGTCTTCAACAAAATATTAATTTCGGTTATAATTTACTAGCCCTTTGTATAGTTTTGTGGCTCGTTTATAAAACACATTCGAATAAGTCAATGTATTGTTTATACTTATGAATATTATTAAAATAAACCAATTCACTTACTTTGATTACGAGTATGAAAACACTCGAATATACTAATAAGAAAACCAACATTTTGTTCTTGTACTGTAATTTGTTTAGACATACCATTGTAATATTTTTTCATTCAAAAATAAATGTTACTAATATTTTAAAAAGGTTACTATTTTATTTCAAAAGAGTGTTGATTAAACAATCTGGTACATTTCATGTAGTTGCCAAATGTTATGTTTCAGTACATTTCAGTACCTCCAACAGGACCCCCAAACATGGGGGACCCCCTGGGTTTGGGGTATTGGGTTTTAATACCTACAATGGAAATATTTCCCATATAGTTCGCTCCTTAAGCAGGTGCAACTCTATATTTACTCTTATGAAAATATTATTCAGTGTTAAAACAACTCCCATCTCAACTCCTTGAGCTTTTCACTGATGCTTATAGTGTATTTTTCAGTGAATACCAAACACGAGAGAGGTTATATTTCTACCTTCTTCTTTCTTTTCACAGCCACTGTTATGAACCTTCCTTGAGAGATGGGTGTGAAGCTGTTTTCATCCGAGGAGAGATCTACGTCGCCGATGAGGTTCCTGTTGAGGAGAGTAGAGAATCCACGGTTTCAGGAGTCCCAGGTAGTTTATATGGAAATTGTATGTAATCAATCTATAACATCTTTAAACAGTTATCTTTAAACAGCAATTTCTAAATTACTTAATGATTTGTTGTGTGTTGGTAATTTATATGATATTATACGCCTTCCCACGCTATATCGAAGTAGATAATCAAGGATGTAATTTTTATTCTCCCAGCGACCGTTCTAAATGGAATGCAATTGTAATATAGGTACTAAATCTTATAATTTTTTTTTCAAAAACACCTTGTTAGATAACAGGTAACTTATTTCAATTTTTGTATTTTTGATTTTTTGTATCTTAACAATTATTTAATATAATAATTGTGCCTTTTCATAATAAAGTGTTTTCGTTTAAAAATTGTGGCCATTTTAATATGTATAACTTAAAAGTAAAATAAATGTCCAGACACTTTTTAATGGCATTTAAAATATTCTTTAAAATAACACCAAGCTCTATAAAATCAAATAATGAATTTCTGTGAAATCACGATTTTTATTTGTACCAATCATGTAGGTTGCGCCAAAAATCGTGATTTCTCACTAATTTATAATTTGATCTTCTTGAACTTGGAGTTGTATATTTTTGTTGTATATATACTTTTAGATGTATAATTTTAAATGCTAACAAAAGTTTTGGATTTTTTTTTAACAAAACCAGCAATTGTTTTATCATAAAAAGTTCAATATCACGTATATCATCATTACTAGGCATTTAGTAAAAATGTTATTTTTATTTTGTTTGGTTTTCACCCATTTAATCTATCCTAAATTTCGTGTACTTACGAGAAACTATATATATTTACCATCTTGCAAATTTTCACAAGCGTGTGTATGTTAAAAAAATTTATGCCTGAGCTGATATTTTATTAAATTATATTTATAAAGTCGTATTCTGTGGCTGGATTCTATTCATGTTGTTGCTATGTGTATAAACTAAAGCAACTCGAATTTAACGATACCTAATCTAGTAGAGTTTGACAAGATTAAACAGATTGGAACGTAATTGAAAGAAAAGTTAGAATCACCAGTGCTTAACTCTGAGCTGCTTTAGGTAATTTGTTTTACTTTTCTCAACTGTCCTTTGGAATCTGTTGACACAGACTTCAATGTCGTGTATTTTTGTTTCAGAGCAAAGAGACTCTAAGAGATGACGTCAGCAGGGAAGGTTTGACTTTGACTTGGAGGGATCTCTCGGTCTATGCCAAGGTACGGACGGAGAAATGGTTCAATTCTGCGTCTACTGAGTACAAGAGGATCATCAACAATGGTAAGAGAAACCTGTTTTTGTTTTTGTAGATTGATAAAAACTGTTGAATAAAAGTACATTCTTCACTAAAATGTTAAAATTTAGTTTCAGGCGCAGTTCGACCAGGGACATTAGTGGCTTTGATGGGAGCTAGGTTAGTATTCGTAGAGCCTTTGATGGGTTTGGGAAATCTGTTTATCTTTTATTGCTTGTATGAGTAGTTTAATATTTGTTTGGCTTTGGTGTTGTTGTCAAGGCTTACTATTTTCTGGAGGTAGCTGAACACGTTAACAAGAGGTACCTAACTATTATTGCTTCACTTAAATTTATTAACTTTATTACGTATTACTCGTCATCTATTGTTTGTATGCCATGTTTTCTTCTTAACCTTATTAGAGATATTTTTGAACTGAATATTTATAAATTTACGTTGTAAAAATGAAAGCGATGTATTGACGTTAAGATTTACGTTTCGATTTAGTCTTGTACTTAAGACGAAATTTAAAATTAATTGACGATTATATTTTAAAGAAAGTAACTGTTGAAAGCTCGAAAATATACTCTACTTACACTATACTAACTATACTAAACCATACTAACTGTCACACAATTTACAATGTCCTTGTACGGGTATTTCAAAAAAACTTATTTGAAACTTTATGTAAAATCGAGTACCATAATTTTTAGTAGATAAAATATTGATTGTTAAAATTTTTTTTACGTTTCAGAAGATATTTAAATAGTAAATAGCTTCAGCTATATCAATTGATATTTTTTATTCACAGTCTAAATGTTACTCAAGTGAATTAAAAAGCACAAAGTAAATAACTGATCGTTATTTCAGTGGAGCTGGGAAAAGCACCCTCATGTCAGCATTGGCCTATCAAACAACAGGTAAGTCATAAATAGGTTCACACAACATTCTTTCTTTGGTGAACCGTTTCCAAATCAGACGTTAAAATTCTGCATAGAAATAAAACTTACATCAATTTTTAATAGACATGATAGTTAGGATAAACACGGTGTAGAGAATCATTTGACTATATTGCAGGATAAAAATAATTCCAATTATTAAATAGCTAATTTGGATTAAACTGAATGGAAGTAATACGGAGTAATGGAAGTAATTTAGCGACATTCTGTGCCTAAGGTTGCATTTTAAAACTAATGACTGTAGTCTGTCCATCATAGTACAAGGAAAAATGTAATCATGGAAGAAACAGATGAACGGAGTTAATCTGAATACATGGATGGACAGTTATTTTTGGAATCGTAAATTATTTTTGAAAATCGTAAAACAAGAAACGCACTTTTAATTTAAATACTATATGAAATACACAAACACTTTTTGTTTAGTTTTACTGACTGATCAATTGTTCTAAATTTTGTGTATATCCAGGCATTTGGCCTTTTTAACTTTTTTGTAAGAGAACAGTTCAAAATATGGTCTTGACGTTGTCTAACGTTGTCCTAATTCTAGGTAGCATCATTAGGCCCACACTGATAGTCCACTATTTTGAAGCACTAATACAAACTCGTTTTATGTATTCTAGTACTACTGTAGAAAAGAGTATTTTATAATGTATTCAATCAAAAACAACCACAGAGACATGTTATTTTCCAGCTGCTATGGTGGTGGACGGAGATATTCGAGTGAATGGTCGCCCTCTTGGACCATTCATGCGGAAAGTGTCCGGTTACATGGACCAAGATGATATCTTCATCAATACCCTCACAGTCACAGAATACCTTCGATTCATGGTCAGTAAGTTAAGGCCACCTAATTTATAAGTAGTAAGAGTTAGTAGAATTAGATGAATAGAAATCACGTACTATCTTTGACATTGGCCAATCCCAACTCATCCGCGACTGATTCAATATTAAATATAGAAATTGAGCGTTTCATAGTAAGTCAGTTTTGAGCTATATTTGAGTTAGAGACATTTTTCAAACAGCCACGAGGATCTTGTAATTGCCATTAATAGTGTAGTCCAATGTTTACTAGACAGTAAAATTAGATGTTAAATCGTGTTTACATCGTGTTTGCAACACGATTTAAACTAGTTTAGATCCTCGTCATGTGAAATTTAGTGGACACGCTATAATTAATATCCTTTATGAAAATAAATCAGTATTTTCATCCAATTTAGATTCATAGATGCATACTTAATTGATAAAAATTTGTAGGTTAACCCATAAGACGATTAATAAAAAAATTACCAATGGGTTGAATTGATAACTGATAATTAATAATAAACAAACACTTTTAATATTATGTTAGCAAATCACGATTTTAAATTATCACTATTCATTTCTGATCAGTAAATGTATTTACTAGTTTTGAATTACAATAAAAAATTATTAAATCGAATGCTTGGATCGGAACCTGTACTTTTTTTTAAACTATTTACAATAAATTTGAATTGAAAACAAAATACGAGGACTATAATGCCTCATATTCCCGAATGGTTCAGTTTGTGTCGTAATAACTGAAACATGCTGAAAAACACTTTTTAATTTTATCCTCTAAACGTTATTGCGGATCCAACAAACAACATAAATCTCCCTCGTAAAAGTTGTCCTGGACGTACACAACCTCCTAATATACCTACGGTGGATATTCATATTGAGTTTTAGTATAAACATTCAGTTGATGGTTGACAAATAGTTGGCAAGTATAATTTAGGACATGGGCAGTTGTCAAACATTATGTGTGTTTTGTTCTTTGTCAAATCATTAGCTTCAGCAGTCATATAATGTTGTATATTGAACATACGAATGACTAAAAAAAATGTATAAATAAAAATAGTGAAGGGTTTCTTGGAAATGGATTGTGGATCTGAGTCAAAAGGTTTTTAAAAATCTTCGGTAAGATGTATATGCTTAAAAAAGTAAATATAGAAAGGATGAATGGTGTCATAAGAATTTGAGAGTCCATTGACAAGAAGCATTACAAACTACCTCTAGGATGTTTAAGATTTTTTATAACGTTTTGTCAGTTTTCGTCTGATCTTTCCAGGCACGGTTAAAGCTCGACAGACGAATAAGCAGCCGAAGGAGAGAAATGACAATCTCCCAGTTGCTGACGTCACTGGGACTCGCTCATTGCGGAGATGTGCGGATTGGTGCAGCTGATGAAGAGGTAAAGTAATAATAGATTTCGTAAAATCTGATTTGAATTAAAGATTAGTGAACACGGACTAGTATCATGAAAATTAAAACAAAGTTGCATATATGCAATTCTAAAACACCGTTTAGAACTCAAAATGTTTCAACCTAATCGCTGTACAAGTCCTAATATAAGAAATATTAATATTTCCAAGACATTATGGGAGGACTAAACATTTTTTTGACCAAGAACATGTAACTGTTGACAGTCTGTATTATCTGGAGGAGAACGTAAGCGACTCTCGTTCGCAGCAGCTTGTCTGACGGATCCTCCCCTGCTGTTCTGTGATGAGCCAACCACTGGTCTGGACTCCTTCAGCGCCGCCACCATCGTCCAAGCCCTACAGACGTTCGCAGCCGCCGGCAAGACTGTCGTCTGCACTATACACCAGCCCAGCTCTGAACTGTTCACTATGTTCCACCAAATACTACTGGTGGCGGACGGGAGGATAGCCTACCTAGGACCCAGTCACACTGCTCTAGACTTCTTTCAAAGGTATACACAGGGTTTATGCTCGGTAAGTTGATATGTAGAAATACAGTGGTTTAATGTAAATACATTTTAAGGAAGTTCAAAATTGGACTTAATCCGCAGCATATATAACTTAGCGTAGAGGAGCGAGAGCTACCTGGTACCGAATCTGTAAAGGGTGCCGGAATCTAGCTCTTTAACACTTTATTCCGTTTGTTAACTGTGTTGGAAGATTTTGGGGTCAATGTTTTATGTAAAATATTATAAATCACTGAAATTTTCCTTTGGTGTGCTTCAAACTTAGCTTAATGAACACTCAGTGGAGGTGCGTTTTTATCCTTTATTAATAGCCACAAAACAATAATTATAGCTCCACTTGATTGGACAAAACCATTTTGAGTGATTCAAATACAATCCCACTTGCCAATTAAGGCGGTTCGTCAATTCATCTAGGCTGTTCAAGCTTTCCCTAACAACTCTACAAACAACACAAAGTCTATAAAGCACCAAAAGAGCCCAACATGCAATAAGAATAGTGAAAAATATTACAAACGTATTCACGATCAATGATCTAAACCAAATGGGATTCCCAACATACGATTGCGCTGACCATGGATGTTACAACTTCAAAGCGAAAATGTGTGTTCCAGTATAGGTTACGTCTGCCCCGAAGACTTCAACCCCGCGGACTACCTCATCCAGACCCTGGCTCTCACCCCGGGATCAGAGTCCTCTAGCAGGCGATCCATCAAACACATCTGTGACCAGTTCGCCGTCAGCGACTACGCCAGGGAGCTGGAACTGCAGATCAACTTCCAGCATCAGATGGGCCACGCTTTTGACGTTAGTGGTAGAGTCTTGTAAATCAGCTTGGTGGTTGTTATCGTATTACTACATCACGAAAGGAACAAAATGCTGCGTATACCTGCAAACGAATGAAAGAGAATGTAAATGAAATGTCCCTTTTGAACCTTTGTTACTAACTAAGACCAGTCGTTTCTTTAGTTACTTATGAGTCATTAGTTAGGACTTATAATAGAAATTTACAATGATTAAGAATAGCTGGGTTCAGCTTTAAGTTGATAAATGAAGGAAAAATAAATTGCTTAAATAAAAGGTATTTTGGGAGCTCCTCAAGGAATATGAAGTTTGTTGATTTGAGTTGATTAATTATGTGTAACTCCTTTCACGGTCCGAAAACTGACTTTAAACTTCGGCTGTTAGAAATTTGTCGATTTCAATAATTATGGCAAAGATAAAATGCTTTGATTTACACGGATGTTTGTGTCTATTTAAAGGAGTTTTTATTTTATTTATTTTTTTGTGTGTATCTACGCCAGTGAATCTTTTTACGTTTTGAAAGGGAACGGTCCAAACCCTGGTCTTGTTACTATCTAACGTCGATCGTTTTGTTAGATAACATCATTAATTCATAGTCCAATGACAAATGGCATCTGGGTCTGGAAATTATTTCGATTTGAATCGAACCAGCGACCTTCAGATTTGAAGGTGAGCACTATAACCACTCGGCTACCCAAACTCATCCATGTGTTAGCGTCTTCCAGTCATACCGACAGATTCTATAGATAGGAAATACGACTCTAAAATGGAGCATCCAGTAAAATGTTAAAATAAAATTCGTAAAATGTTTAAACTATAAAATATCTTACTTACGTCTTCGTTAACTTAATTTTGAGTTTTACAACTACATTTTCTACGTGGCAAGGACAGAATATGACTTGATCTAGCTGTATTAAAAAATATGTCAGACATTTACTTCACAATTTTTAAACACATTTTTTTATGTTTCAGGATGTCTTGGATTCGCGCTTGAAATCATCGTAAGTATTAATAAAGGTGCTCCTTAAGTTTTTTTGGTTAGTATATTAAAAGATCCATAACTGAGTCTTCTATAAACCTAAAGCTAAATAAAAACATTATAATTAGGCATAACAATCGTCAATACATTATTTATTTATTTTTTTTTATTTATACACAATTTACAATAGCTACAGGTATAAACCCAAAACAGCTATAATTAAAATAATACAATATCTATATATATAAAAGGCAAAGCCCTCACTGACTCACTCATCACTAATTCTCCCACTTCCCATTTACCTAGGAAGCTGAAATTTGGTACACTGATTCTTTAGGCATTAAATAGGAAAACTAAGCAATTTTTATTCTGATCGGACTCTCGGGCTCCGCCCCAGTGGCTCTGGAGTTTCCCATGTTAACCTTATGAGTACTCATATTTAAATGGAATTAATGAATCTTAACAGCTGTTTCAATTAAACAAGTTGGTTCTGTTCTATGATGTGCAATTAGCATTTAAGTTACAAGGATTACCAACAGGGTGCAGCACACTATTATTTTTTTAAATTTATGACTACAGACGTCTAATTTGCAACCAAAAGGTGAGTGAGCGTAGCGAACGAACTTCAACCTGGAGGCGAGTTAGCGTAGCAAACGAGCTAACCTGAAGACAAGTGAGCGCAGCGAACGAGCTCCAACCTAAAGGTGAGTGAGCGTAGCGAACGAACTTCAACCAGGACGTGATTGAGCCATGCGAATGAGCTCACTATGAAGTAAAACGGGGCAAAGCCCGCGGGTACAGCTAGTTAATACATAAAGTGAAGAACGAAAAAAAATACAAAAAGTGCACATAAATAGACAATACAAAACCAGTGATGATAATAGTAAAAAAGAGTGAATACAAGTTAATAAAAATGGACAACGTTGTTGAAAATTACACTTATTTTGGCTGCGAATCTAAAGGGATGGATTACATTACGTAAGCAAAGCGTTTATCTTAAATTTAAACTGCTTAATAGTGTCAGAAAAAACATCTATTTTACTATTGTGGACATTTAATAAACGTAAGCCTGTAAAAAGTGAAAAACTGTAAAATTGAACAGTGTTACAACGAGGGATAAAAAATAAAATTGACGATCTTGAATTATTACGAGGGACATAAAAAGCAATCTTACTCAACAAAAACAAACTATCAACTTTGTTATTTAGGATTTTATACAGACAAATCAATGCTAAAACTTCCCTTCTTAATGTAAGGCTTTGGAAATCAAACAATCCTCTCAATGAATCAGTTGACATATGCCAGTCACATCTCTGATTATACCTTTTTTAAAACAAGTATCGTAGAAATTTATTTTGGAGAATTTCTATTGCATTTTTGTGGTATGAGTTGAAAGGAGACCAAACTAGAACACAATATTCCAGCTTACTTTTAACAAATGAGTAAAACAATCAAATAACGGGGTCAATAGTTCTGCAATTCTTGGTATTTCTTTTTATAAAACCTAACATTCTATACGACTGAGTAATAATCAATTCAACGTGTTTGTCAAATCTTAGATACGAGTCAAAAGTAACTTCTAAATCCTTAATTTGGTCCACTCTTTTAATACATACTTTTAATGCATTATGCTAATGTATTAATTTTATTAACAAAACTTTTCTGTTGAGTAATTTTGCTTGTCAAATTAGTAAAACTACATTTTTAACTACGTTTCCACTTGTAACATAATTTAAAATTGGCACAGAGCTTTAGAAATACATACATTTCGTGAATCATTTAAAACAACCAAGAGATTTTGATTTTAATACATTACTTACGTAATATTCCTAGCCAATCTAAACTTATACTTAAAAATGAATGATAAAAGTACCAAATATAATAATCTACAATAAAGTTTAAGCTGGCCTAATTGATATTATTGTTGGTGTTTATTTTGGTGTCGAGATTGTAGCCGTTGGTGATGAAAATGTTTGTTTATGTATTCCAGCAAGCAGCCGCGGTGGATCAGCAAACTTTGGTGGCTGACGAACTGTGCTCTGCTGGAAATCCTTCGAGACCCAAAAGTTCAACAAATTAGACTCTTGCACAAAATTGTAAGTTTCAAGTTTTAAATTAACCAACCATCGCTCCTCATCTGGTGGTCTTAAGATTATCTCTCAAGGTCAATAAGGTTCCTTAAGTTTTTACTTTATAAAGTACAATAAATATTACTGTATAAAAGCGATTAAAACGTATAATAAAAACAATTATACCTGGAACCCCATTATGAAACTAAAAATAGCTCCACATATACGATACAGTAGAGGTCTAGTGGGAAATAAAGTTGTGGAAAAGTAGACAAACTTTAAAATACCGTAGTAAACTTTGTGAATATAATAGAAATGTTAATTGAACAGATTATATGAAAAAAAAGCAACTGGTTTACTTAATTCAATGGCGTTTTAACATACAGTAATATATTAAACCAAAAACATCACCATCTTGATTAAATATTAGGGCCTTGATTTTAAATAGGATTTTTACTTTAGAGGTAAAAGATAAAACAAATCAAAGGATTCATTCAAATTATCCTCAGCTTGAATTAGGTTGGCCCAAATTTTTCTCAACAGTTGTCTGCATTATTGTGATATGAACTTACTTTTAACCAGTAACGATACAAACATACGCGCGTCTTTTAAGCTTAATCATAGACAACAGTCTTTAATTAAATATAGACTGTCAGCCATGCTGCGGTTACCATGGTTACCATAGGTTCTGGCGCACACCGCTGGGAGCGCCATGTAGTTATGGCGTACGCGCGGCACTCCCAGCGGTGTGCGCCAGAACCTATGGTAACCGCCGCAGCATGGCTGACAGTCTATATTTAATTCTTTTTGTCTATGGCTTAATCGAATACAAGGTGAGTGTAGTAAGTTAGATTGGAGTAAGATTATTGCTGAATCTTTGTTACTGATTATCATCAGCTGTTTCATGAGCTAGGATAATTTATGCAAACACTAATGATGAGGGTCAGCTGGGTCCAGTTTCGTACCATCAAAAAGTTACTGAATTTTCTCACGATCGAACCACCAACCTTTTGACAGTTGGTTGGCACTATAACTTCTCAGCTACACATCCTGATGTTATAGTTCAACAGTTCAAAACAACAACTTTACATAGATTTTCCTGACAGGCCATCGCATTGATGGTAGGCCTTTGCTTCGTCGGTAGTCTCCATCTCACCCAGACTGGTATACAGGCTACCCAGGGCGCTCTCTTCATGTTGGTCACGGAGAACACCTTTGGTCCGATGTACGCAGTACTACCACTCTTCCCAGCAGAACTACCCCTGGTGATGAGGCACTATCGCGCCGGACTGTACGGACCTCTGGCTTACTACCTCGCCAAGATTGTGGCAATTGTGAGTATTCTCCTTAAAAAAAAAAAAAAAAAAATTGTACCGACAGAATGTTGTGTTGAGTAGATCAGCTGATGAACTGGGGGTCAGTTACATGATTTATTTGGAGGAGGTGCCCGTTTTTGGACCCGAGCCTTAGGTCCAAGTAAAATAGTTTTGTGTTTTACTGAATTATTTTGTATTGGATATTTTCAAATTAGGTTATGGTTCTAATAGTTAACACAATTTCGCCGGGCACTCTATCTTTATTTATTATTAAAATATCCTAAAAGAGTGTTGGGATTAATTTTTGGGCTGTATCTCCCACGTTGGTGATTCCTTTTTTGACCGTGGCCATTTAAATGATAGCTAAGAACTGTTAGCTTGGATTACAGGCTATTTACAGTATAAACGGGGGCTTTCATTACTTTTCGTTGTTTAAATGTACATCAGAGAATGATTAGGACCTCTTTTAAAAGTTGCAGCTATTTAGGAAATTAAAACCTATGTACATTTCATAGTTTTTGGTTTAATCAAATTTATTCATTTCATTACTGTCTAGAGCTAACGCTTAATATTGGGGTGTCTGCCTTACGATAGTGTAGTAACAGGTTGTACATAAGTCATTTCAAAAGGATTTAAAAGCCACCTTCGATATATAGTATGTCAACAACTTTATCAAGTGAGAGAATGCGTTCCCAATAGTTCGATTATACCTTGATGGTAAATTGATTAGTGCTTTGAAAAAAATTAAATTTTTAATCAATGTGTTTCAGATCCCAGGTCTGGTGGTTGAGCCGGTGGTATTCACAGGGATCCTGTACTGGTTGGCTGGACTGCAGAATACAGTTTATGCCTTCATAATGACGTCAATCATAGTCACCCTCTGTATCAACGTATCCACGGCTTGTGGTAACTCATGATATTTGTATGTGTGTGGCATAAACTATTCCATGATCTTTGACTAGTTTAAAGCTGTTAGTACAATTGGTAACATTGCACAAACATGTATATCGAACTTTTGTTGTCATCACTATTTGGAAGCTCAATGAGGAATATTCCACTTTGGAAATCTCTTTTGAATTTGTTCAGAGTTTATTGTTTTAGTAAGTTTATTAATGACTTAGATATTTAACCACTTGTAAATTGAACTTTTGGGATATTGCTGCTCGATGTTAAACTTAATTTTTAGCCGAAACTACATTAGCTATAATCTACTGTGATGTTTATCTTCTGCCGGGAAAATAGTTGGAGTATCTGCCCACGTTGGGTATTCTTCCCAGATAAGAGGGCCTCGAGTAGCCGAGGAATGGTGGTATCGAAACAGGAGGGGCCAAAGTGACAGGGAATTCGGGAAGGAAGAGCTCATCGGCCACTGAGGTGACGATCACGGGTGGTGGAGGCAGGATCTCAATCTCCTCTTCGATGAAGGGAACCACTATTTCTCTCGGAGCGATGACATCCACCGCGTTGAAAACTTCGACTTCGCCCTTGAATGTGCAGACAGGCTCAAACACGCATTTGGTGGGAAGTTTCATCGGCAAGGCAACATAGTCTTGTTCCGGGATTCCGTAGCCCTGGATGATGTCTTCACTATTTACGATGGTTTATATACATATAACAAGTTATCTTAAAAAATTAAAACTATAGTCTTTAAAACTGTAAACTCATAGCGTATACAGTATAACGTGAGATGTATCAAACTCTATTACACGCAAATATTTGACGTTTGATAACATTTATTTTAAACTTGTTGTTTGAAAGTTTTGTGAGTTGTAGTTCGTAACATTATTTGTGTTTCAGGTTGTTTTTTCTCTGCCACATTCGAGTCTGTTGCTATGGCGATGACCTATCTGGTGCCGTTCGACTACGCGATCATGATCACTTCTGGCAACTTCATTAAACTCGAGTAAATATACCCTTTGTTGCGAAAATTTGTCGATTAAGACATAATAGCTTAATTTTCGGATAGAACTATCCTCTGAATATTTCATGTTAGTAGAAATAATCCTTTTGCATCGTCATTATAGGATGTCCTATCTAAAAGCCATCATTATTATCTACAATGATTTGTTCGGTTTATCACGTATCAATGGAGATTGAATAAATAAAACTACTTTGAGGGCAACTAATAGTTTCCTTTGACTGGGATAGGAATATGTAGGAAAAGTGACTGTTTAATTTGATTTAAAATTAGCTTAGAGGTTAGAAAATATGTTATTTTTACGACCATTTCTTATAATATACTTTGGATGTGAGGTGATGTGACTTGGTAACGTCGAGAATCTATCTCGCAAGATTTGCTGATGTCAGAGGTTAATGCAAGGCTTACTCAGAAACCATAACCACACTCTCCTGTTTTGGTATGCACATTTCATTAACACTGGTGAATCTTAACGGTGAAAATAAATTCTTGGGCTAAACAAAATATTCGAAGAATCAAACATGAATAAGTACTAAACTGTGATAGAAACACATTTCTAATAATATATGAAAGGAAATATTGTGTAATTAAAAGTGTTCCAAACAAAAATCCTAGACCTGGAGACACCAATGTACTTGTTAATTTGCCAGTCTAGGAAGTAGAATATTTTGAAAATTAGATATCTAATAGGTTAAGACGAATTTAATGTGGAAATCCTTCCTTTTTACTTGTTGGCGAATAATATTGACCAATTTAATAGATTTGTCCAATCAGGAGAGAATCTATAAACGATAAAAAATGTAAGGATAGCTTATAGAAAGTTAACCTACTTTTACTGATTGTAATGCAATCGTTGAGGTTTTCAGATACTTCAAAAATTGCACAGGTTATGCACTGTATGCGTGTTAAAACTAACCTACAATATTTCACACCATGCTTTGAATATTTTCTCACCCTATTTTCCAATTGTTGAATCATGTTTTCCTTATAAATAATGCTCTCGTAAATTTTAATCATGCAGTTACAAACACCCTAAATATCCATCGTTAGTACTCTCTCTGCATATTTTGTGCAACTAAAAATCCAGACTAACAAGAAAATCTTTGTACAAATCCATTGTGGAAAGGTGGAAATCAATGGAGAACAGATTTATCGTTGCTGAGATTCCGGCGCCTTGAACATGGGCAGAGATAAATTATCCTTTTACATATAAGAATAAGAATAAGGTGGAGTATAGCAGCTCTGACTTGATTTACCGTTACAGAAATATCTTCTGTAGACAGATTGGTGCTACTCGCTGCATCTTTTCTTACAATTCATGTAGCGCATTCAATCTAATCAAAAAGTTATAAAAAAGTAAAATAAATGGGACAATAGTTTTTTGTTGTATTTGCCATAAATGTTGATAGTGCAATATCAAAACTAGGTGTGTGTTAGTATATGTCTGTTTAAACTTGTGATTTTCATTATATTTCAAATATGTAGTGAGTTGTTCCATAGTTGATCTGGAAAGAGTTAAGTTTCAATAATACAGGGTGATTACCGAGAAACGCATGTTTTTCAAATAACGAGTATTCAGGCAATTCAGAGAAAAAAATTATATTTATGAGTGGAAAAACAGTGTACACAATATGCAATTTCAGAATAAAATTACTTACAATTTAGTGTTTAAAAATTACATTTCTAAGATGGTCGCCTTCTGCTTGGTATGGAATTCCTTCATCGAACATCCCATACAAGAGTTATCACACGTTTTGGTGATGTAACTTGGTCTTCTCGCTCACCGGATCTTAAAATTCCAGATTTCTTTCTATGGGGGTTTTAAAATCCAGAGTTTACTTAAACAAACCACAAACAATACAAATCAAATCAATTTATTGACACAAATAACGTTACATTGGGTGCTTATAGCAGTAACTGATGTCTTGTCAATTACATAAATCTTAATAATAAAATACATAGAAGATTACAATAACAATAAAAATGTACAATGACTAACCCAAGGAGGTGTCTGCTAAAAAGTCTGAGATGGAATAATAAACCTTATCCAGTAGAATTTCTTTAATTTTAACTTTAAAAACATTTACTGCCAATTGTTTAAATTTATTCGGCAAATGGTTGTACAGCTTCAGGCCTGTATAAAAAGGACATTTTTCAAATTTTGTTGTCCGATGGATTGGGTAACTGTAAAGGTTCTTGTTTCTAGTGTTGTATTTATTTTTTATTAAGAACTTTTCAAAATATTTTTTATTTTTATGGACATAATTAAGGCTTTCATAAATGAACAGGCTGGGGAAAGTTAATATGGACTGATTTTTGAAATGTTTTTTACAGGAAGCCCTAAATTTAGCGTTCGCCATATTTCTAATGAATCTTTTTTGCATTGAAAATATCTTTTTACTATTTTTTTAATTTCCCCATAAGGTAATGCCATACCTCAAAATCGATTCTACATGGGAAAAATAAACTATTCTGATAACATTTTTTGATGCACACTGAGAAAGAACTGAATAAGCAAAAAAGAATGATCTTAATTTTTTTAACAAATAATCAATATGTTCCTTCCAATTTAGTTTTTGGTCAATGATCACTCCGATAAATTTTTGTTGTGAAATATCTGTCATGTTTGACTTTTGAAAAAATAAGACGTTTACAGGAACTTAAAGAAGTTATTCGCCAGGAAATCAACTCCATTCCTAGATACATTATAGGAAAATCCGTAGCAAGTTTTAAGGAACGCCTTCAACACAAAATCCAAGCAGAAGGCGACCTTAGTGATGTAATTTTTAAACGCTAAATTGTAAGTAATTTTATTCTGAAATTGCATATTGTTTACACTGTTTTTCGACTCTTAAATATATTTTTAGCTCTGAATTGTCTGAATACTCGTTATTTGAAAAACATGCGTTTCTCGGTAATCACCCTGTATTACTGAACTTTATTAACTAATTATTTTACAGTGTAGGGCGAAATATTGCATGTTTTTTGTAAACTTGAGAAAAAGTAATAGTATAAAAGAAAGAACATAATTTTCCTTTGAGAAGAATGTGATTTATTTTTAATTTTGTTATGATATACAACAATATACACACTAAAAGCATTGATCTTCTTGAACAAATACTAGAGGTTAACCGTAGAAGAAAGCATTAACTTGTTCTAAGAAAAGTGTAAAAACTTTAACTACAACCCTAAAACACAGCATACTTTAACCTCTAAAAAACGTCCTACAAAAGATGATAATTCAACTTCCTCAACCTTTTATACTTTCACATTTGTATTAGAAAAGGTAATAAATACTATGTAGGCATACAAACGTATTATGTAGTATTATTTATCTATTTTCATGACTGATACATGCAAACCTTTTCCAGTACTCTAAGTCCACAACTCAGCTGGGTCCAATACTTGTCCTGGATGATGTACTCAAACGAGGCTATGACAATTATTCAATGGCAGGACATACAGAATATCAGTAAGTTGAACTTGTTACACTGCTTATTTTAGAGTGATCTTTGTATAAGACAAAAGAGTCGGGATGAAGTAGTTTATGAAGCAAATAACATATAAAGTTACACTTAAACCTTATATGTTAACCCAAGATATTTTGTTCTGCTATCAACTAAATATTATAGGAAGTATGTAATACTTACTTTACTACAAGAATATAGCGGAAATGTTAAATAATAATTTAATCTTAATGTAACTGTTTTATTATTAATTTATCGATTGTTAACTATTGTTACTTACCTCAAATTCTATTTTTATATCCATAGCTATTCTCACATTCTGTATTTGATCCTAGGTTCCTAATAATAGACCCATGTGTCCTTGACCATTGGGCCCTTGTTACCTTTGTACCTTTGGGGTCCTTGTTATGTTTTTGGGGTAATGGTCGTGACTAATGAATCAGCTGGTTGGTGAAAAAAGCTACACAAGGCGTCAAATATCATTCTACACTCATCCTTCACCCATATAGGGTTAAAATACGCACCTAGGTTGCATCCCCATCTCAAACGATAATAATATGAATGACAATTTTGCACGTAACTTTGTATTTGTTCAACAAATATTCTCAATTATCTCACTTACTATTTGTATTTTCTCTAACGATCCTTTCACTTTATCACATTTAGTTTGCATTTTCCCAAAACTATTCTCACATTTTAGATGTTACTTTGTACCAAGGCGTACGCTTTACCACACTTCCCACTCCTCACATGCTACTTTACTCCCAACTATTTTCTTTGTCGTATGTTACTTTGCATTTCCACCACGACTATCCTCACTTATCGCATGTATCTTTGTCCCCAGCTTGTGAAGAGGATCTGCCCTGTCTACACTCTGGTACGGAGGTCCTGGAACGCTACAGTTTCTCCGCTGACAATTTCTGGAGAGATATCTACGCTCTCGTCGCTCTCTTCGCCGCCTTCCACGTCCTCGCATACTTTGCTCTATGTCGCACTATTAAACGCAACTCGTAATAATACACCTTTATTTATATCCCAAACCTATCCTTGGTTGTTCGAACAACGTTCTTAAACATATCAAGATAAAAAAGAAAAACAATATTGTAAAGTTAGTGTGGTGTAGTTGTTTTTATTTGAGATTTCGCTGTTGGTTCATTTTGTTTTTAATAGCCCAGAAAGGTTCAAACACGATTAAGGCTAATAGTTGTTACATGTAAGTACTTAAAATGGTGTCAATAAAATGAGTTGAAACAAACGAGAGCACGTCCTGGAAATAAATCAATAATGTACTTAAGTTAAGCAAACTACAGTAGTTCAAAGTGAAATTCTTCTGATGAAAATTCATGATAACGAAATAACACCTCTTTCAGAGACACTGCTTTGCGAAAAATCTAATCTTAATCTTTCTGAAATTAAATGAAATTGAATTGTATTCAATATATTGAGTTCCCGTTGGGTTCAATTCATATTCCGAAAGTGTTCAAAACAATTTAGGAGTTCACATTAACAAATGGTAGTTGAAATCATTAAATTATTCATCATGGGAATATTATCGTACTGTTTTTGCACCTCGCAAAAATATAGAAATGAGAAATTTCATTACGTTAAAACCGACATTATACTATCGAAGCTTCTTCAATGAATTTGGTTAATGATGTTTTGACAACATTAAGCAGACCATTGACAATTATTATAGAAGTTAAACTGCATATCGTAATAAATTATATTAATATACAGTATATAATGATATTGTTAGCCTGTGGGAATATAAGATAATAAGAAGGTCGCAGCATGATGGTTTTATCGATACTTAAGACACGCTAGGAGGGATCACGCAACAATATAATCTAAGTGAAAGCCTGTGATTTTTACGGAAGTAGTTATAAGGTGTATACGCTGTTAATATGTGATCCTAAAAGTAGCATGTTTTGGCAAAGTGACCTGGAAGTGGCTATTTCAGGGTAGTCGAAAAGTAGAAATTATGAAGAACAATGCCACTGACTTTAACATTCAAGATAATCACATACCAGAGTTATAATTTGGTAATTTTAAAGGGGTTATAGAGTTCCAATAAATGTGTTCACACAAACATACTATGCATTATTTCATACGTTTGTGTATGGAAATAGCAACTTAGTCAAATATACATCTATGTCAATCTGGGTCTTACCAGTGCTGCCCCTCGTATGCTGTGGCTGATTAGAGAACTATGACTCAGAGACTCGAGAACTATCACGAAAATATTAATGTCAGAATTGAGATTTCAACTCTTGTAAATATTAGCTAATTGCGAACTTTCTAAACTCTAGTAACCAAGCTACACAAGACATCATACTCCTATCTACACTAATCCTTCACTCATATTCAAGTTAAAATACGCACATAGGTGGCATTCCCGTATCAACTGATAATGATACTTCTGTCACTATGTTAGTTGATATATATATATATTTGAAATATAAATGTAAATAAACATAGCCTATGTATTTTATAAACAAATTAAAGTAAAGAGTTGCTTGATAATTGCTAATAAGTTCGTGAAGAATTAATGAGTTGCACCAAAGAATACTAAGTTTATCTTAAAGCGTTTAATAACTTGATTAAACACTCTTCTAACCGACTTTGACTTGATAAAGAACTGTAATTACTCAGGATTAAATTAATCCCTGAAACACAATTTACGTAAACTATTACAGTATTGGTAAGCTTTACACTGTTCAAACTCACGTGACAATTTAATCAGTTTACTTGAAGAGGTGTGATTCGAGATTGAGTTTTGAGTTCCGGAGTTATTTCGGTTTGAAATCAAACTTGAGGGATGACGTATTCAGATTTAGCTCAGAAAAGCCGTGAAATGTTATTGATTGACGAATACTTGCAAGTTCACTGGAGTAAAATATATGCAGATTATATACAAGAATATGCAAGTCAGTAAGTTGCATTTTAGGCTTGTCGCTGAAGTTTAGGTTTGACAAAATTATTACATTCCTCTACTCGGGTACCTTATTCTAAATTTAAACTATTTAATAATAATGTAAATGAAATAATTTAGAGACTAAGGGATGCTATTGAATTAAAAATATTCCGTCATAGATTTTATCCACCATATTGTGCATAGTGAACTTATTCATCATCAGGCAAATAATATGTAAACTATTTAAAACAACATTTCGGGAATTTGAAAGTCAAATTATTTCCATCGGTTAAAATTATCTTGTCTTTGTCATTTCACATTCCTTCACGTAACATTTCATTGTATTTAATGATTCAGAATAAAAATTGTGAAAAATGCAGCTGTAAAAAGTAAACTCTGTTACCATACCTAAGTATTACTAAAACTATAAACAAATTATTAATCAATTCCTAAATGAGATTGTTAACTGTTTGAGATATAATGTAAACGTGTCTCAAACTTTGGCGTTTCCGAAGTTATAGTTACAAGTAAGCTGTTACTGAAGAATTCGTAGAGGTTGTTTGTAAAGAGTTAAACATTGTTAACTTAACAATCTGAAACCAATCCAAACAAGTTTTTAAGTGTTATCAATAATTTTATCGTCTAGACAACCCATTCTTTGCTAACTTTAACAAGTACTTTAAAACCTTAATTTTAAATATTTGAGGTTTGGCAGCATTGACGTGTTTGAGTTATAAAAAAACTACTTGTACATTGTTGTGACTTAGCACGAAACCAATTTTTGAGATCAGAAAATAAGTCCTAATGTTATGGAGCAAATCTGTTTTGCATTGTCTAAGAATAGCACTACATGAATTTGGTCTGTAATACGTAGTGTTACATTGCCATTTGCTTTTTTTATTGACTCATAATTATAATGACTTTTAAAAATCCTACAAATTTGACAACCGACAACGATATGTTCAATGTAATCCTACCCAATATTTAGTATTTTTAACAAAAGTAATTTGATTTAGTAAAAAAATAATAACGAGCACGTGAGGGATAATTATTGATGCAACACCTTTCTATTGTAAATATATGACACTACTTTTTAATTTTTTCCCTTTTTAATAAATAGTTTACTTCCGTTTTGTGCGATATCATATGTTCAGCAGTTTTTGCTGTTAAGGTTGTAAACAAGTTCGATGTACATGATTCTGTTCATATAAACTACAATATGTCTCTACTCTTTTCTTTCAAAATATCTTTTCAATCATTCACAAATAACTTGTATTCTGCCAATCTTATTGCAAAATAACGTTCTATTCTGGTCTAGAAGTAGTGGAGGACAAGAACAATAAATGTCTTGGTAGGGACAGCAGTGTTATTTATGTTTTTTGTACTCAAGCAAAGATTCTTTTTCAATATTTACAGATAACTTAATTATGGTGGTTATTTTATACCACGAGTAAAATCTTATTTTTATAAATGGTATCTTACAATATGCAGCCGTCAAGATATTATCTTGTTTTAAAACTTTCTAGTTGGGGATTATTGTTTACATTACTTAAGGGAAGACCTAGAAGTTGCGGCATTATCGTTGATTGGCAGGACTTGAACCTGGAACCACGGGAACCGAAGTCCCGGGTTTGATCACTACACCAGCTCGCTCCCAGCCTTGATTAACAATATGTATAGTTATAATTGATTTTATTATAAGTATAATATCTAAGTGCTCTGCAGCCAAATGTTTTTATTATTGTCCTTTTACTGATAGTTTTATCTCGCCGAAACACACGCAATAGTTTAAACAATATACTGTGGTATTACTATAATATGTTGCGTTAGTAAGATATATAGACATGTCTCCCACAATAACAGAAGTAGGGAGACTCAATTTCACTACAGATACAAACAACAGTTTCATATCCACGAGATTGTCGACATTCTGAGTTTATCTTGATATTGCTCAAGTTTTGACATTTCTGGCAGCCTCTTCCAACAAAACACATTCATGCTATCTTGCTACTAGTGGAAGTATTGCATCTTCAACACTTAATACTGCAAGATAAAATGTATTTAAAATTTTAGGTAGAAAATTAAACTCCTTCTAGTCAGGCTTTTATATATACCTATAAATCAGCAATATTATACATAGGTTAATCAACCATAAAGCAACCATGATACTATATCAATTCATAACCCTTACAAATAAGATACTTAAAATCATTGAAATGTGCACAAATTATTAGGATACCAAGAAACGAACATATATCAATAATTGAATAAACAAAATTGTTATTCAATTATTGATATATGTTCAAGGCTCAATTATTGAGCCTTGAAACTGTTTTATAATATCAAATCTGACTGATATATTATGCATTAATTAAAAACCTCAATCCTTTAATGTATATGTTTTATGCGTTCTTTCTCAATATTTTAGTTGTGCAGACCTTTTTTATGATAGTTAACAAATCCAAACATTATCTTTAAGAAATTAAAATGTAAACATGTTATTTCATAACCTTTTTTACTATTAAGAACTAGATGCATTGCCCAAGCTACACCATAGGAAGAGAAAGCCAAAGAAAATGAATAAGGGCTGAAGGGTGGAAACTGAATTTTCCCAGCATTGTAGCCAACTCCAATCGATTTCTCGTGGCCAAACACCCCATAATAAACAAAAAAATTTAAAATTCTCGGATAGAAATATAAGTTTGTCCATAGGTACATCAGCTTGTTTTGGATTATATGATTTAACTGCAGCTTAATAAAGATTGATTCAATCAACATGTAAAACATACATCATAGCAAACAATCGAGCAATATTGATTGACTCGTGGGAAAAGTTACGGTTCATTAATGCATTTCATGTTTGCAAACAAATAAATCTAATCAAGTCAGATATGAAAATAATGCTTTGGCCAAACAGTGTTGTTTACATAGGTAAATTGGTATTAGCCTTTTAGTTTTATCACAATTTAAACACTTCACTGAATCTCAGTTTTCGTAAATATGTCAAATTTCAATAGTTTTAATCACTAAGCCACTTCATAACACTGAGGAAAGATTTAATCATTTCGGTTTAGCAAGCGAATACAAATTCATCCTTTTT